ACCCCATCGGAGACACCCAAGTTCATGGGGACATGGGAACAAACACTAGGTAAAACTTTCACGGACGGAGAGTGGGAGAAGATATGCTACTTAACACACCACTGCTCAGTCTTCAGCAGGACCCAGGAAACTGCATTCAAACTACTGTCAAACTGGTACCACACTCCAATCATACGCCATGCCATAGACCCAGAGTACACTGACCTTTGCTGGAGATGCAGCAAAGAAGCTGGCACCATGCTCAACCTCTGGTGGAACTGTGAGGTCGTCCAGCCCTTCTGGAAGGGCATACACGACTTACTCCAAACATTTTCAGACGCACCACCACCCTTTCTTCCGGCAGCCATGCTTCTACACCACACGAAGACACCCAGATCCCACTATAAAAACTCACTCACCATTAGAATCCTAAATGTGGCCAAGCAAGTGCTCCCACAATTCTGGAAGCAAACATTGACACCTTTACTGACAGCATGGTTCTCCCAAATGGAAGAACTAAGAGCCATAGAGGAACTCAACATGAGCGCAAACACACCGGACAAATACCTGGAAATATGGTCGCACTGGCTACTGAAGACCAGTAAGACAGATTTTATGACTAGGCTCCAATACGAAACGTAGACAGAGTCAGCAAGACAGCACAGACCGACACCACGACAGACAAAATAGACTGATACAACCCTGACAGCAACACGCCTCCCTCCACAAATAACCCAACACATAAACCCACCGAACACAAACCAACACATCCTGGCACCGACCCACTGCTCCAAAAAAATATCACCCCTATGGGACACACACGACCACAACACTGCACAAGAAACCACACACTTATCCAGACAAACAACACACAGAGACAAGCCGAAACACAAGAAAGCCAACACCCAGCCACCTCCTGGAACACAAGTAGGACCGACAGGCCACAATGCCAACTGTCTAAGCAGGCACGGCAGACCAGAGTCAAGGAAACACAGCACTACGCCACAACACTGCCAACAGCACACGTGACAACCAGAGAATAGACACATTGAACTAGGACTTACACACGAGAAAGAACCCAACAAACACCATACACAACCAAAACACAGGTCTCTGCACTACACACCTACAGCAAATTACTACTTTGGGCTTACGAGCCACAGGAAAGCAGAAAGTTGAGAGACCTGCGTGTCTCAAGAGGTATTGACTATTCACAAATGTTGAAACCTGCGAGTTAAGGAATAAACCCAACCTTGACACAATTGAAATGTTATCGCGAGTCTCAATGTTACTATTTTCTTTGAAAACAAATAAAATTATATTTACAAAATATATATATATATATATATATATATATATATATATATACGGAGGAGAAATAGTTATTTAAAATTTCAGCTTTTTTTATTTTTTTTTATTTATGTACTTAAAAAAATGCTTTGGGGTTTTTGCTCTTTTTGGCTATAATTTTTTCATTTTGAAGTTTAGCGAATCTAATGCCTCTTTGCACACATTATTCTTCCTTATAAGGCTTCCTATCTTTTATATGATGCCTCTGATTTGTCAGATTTAAAGACTTTGAATGCCCTTTTCTTATTTATAATTTCTTGATTCACTTTCCCACTAAGCCACATTGGTTTAATTTTTTTCTTTTATATTTATTACCAAATGGTACATACTGAGAAATGTACCTTTTTGATATTTGTTGGAATATATTCAATTTATTCTCAGTGTTCCTTTCGCTAAAGAGTTTATGCCAATCAATATATTGTAAAGCTCCCCTTAACTTATTAAAATTGCCTTTTTTTTTTTTTTTTTGGTGCAGGTTAGTACATAGCATTTTCAAACGCCACAACAGCGTATACAAATGTAAACAGGCTAGGCAGTGGCATGTTAAATTGCACATTTTTGTTTTATGGTCATGTTTTACATTTCTAGTTTGTCTCCGAGTTAGGAATAACAATTATCAGAGTTAAGGAGGCATGCATACGTTTCACTAGCATTTTGTTTTAGGTAAGGCATTGAGTAATCATATTAGGATAGGTTAGGTTAAATGTTACTGCTTAGAGAGTGGGATGCAGGCCAATATAGGTTATTTGGGTTAAGCTAGGTTTCTATGATTGCTGTGTGAGTTATTTCACCCCATAGGCCCCTATGTTGAATCTTGGGTATGCTTGATGAGGTTGGCACCTCAGCGAGGCTTAGATCACGTTTTTTCAGTTTCGCAGTGCGTGTACTGAGTGGAGGTGAGGCATGTCTGCCAAGTGTCCCCTTGGATTTCAGTTTAGTCCGTGATTTTAGCATGATCCTGCTGTATGTCAGCAGTCCAAGTGCGTCACGGTTCCAGGACTGCAGGGCGGGAGGCACCGTACTGCAAACGGGGAAGGGGGGGTGCGATGATTAAGTTGGGTGCCAGCTCCCTGGATCCTTCTGAGGGTAGGTATCCCTGGGCAGGCTGCCGATGGCAGTTTCTGTGGTGCATCCGCTTGTTTAATGTCTCTCCTTCTCTTCCACCCACCCCGGGCCTGCTAAAGTGCCAGAGCCGAGGCCTCGCTCCGAGACTCGAGAGGTATGTGTTGTGTTAAAGCTCTGTTTCTTGCATGTTGCAGGCTGCTTTATGGGTCGAGCCAGCTTATACCGACGAGCTGCACCATGCACGGTGTGTGCAGGGGGAGCTCTGGCATCGGCTCCTGCGCACATGGCCTCTGCCATCATAGATGTAGGCCTTGGCATGCAGAGTGGGATGGTATTGTGTTTTGGTGACTGTGGCTACAGGGTGGGGACCGGGATCACCCCCACCGGTCCAGAGGGGGGTACAGGACCGGGTCCGCAAAGGTTCTGAGTGCCTGCTGGGCTCCGTTAGGCAGGATAGTGGAGCAGCGGCCGTCCACTCCAATCACCGTTGGATAAGTTTCCACATGGAACAGCGGAGATCTCTCCTCTGAGGGACTAAAACTCAGGATCCGGTACCCCTTGCACATGGAAGGTCGCAGTTGTTGGTTGTTAGATTCGTCTAAAAGCATGGGTTATAGGCTTGTTTGACGTTTCCAGGAGCTGATCTTTCCTGCGACCGTCCAGCTTGGCGGTCCGGCCCCGCCCCCAGAAATTGGCCTTTTTAAAATTGTTTTAGTATACCTTATGTGCTTTTGTTTTTTTGAGTTTATTTCTATTGTGATCACTATTTCCCAAGTGCTCATCTACTTGAATTTTGGTCAAAAGATCAACGTTATTTTTTAGAACCAGGTCCAGACAAGTGTCCTTTCTAGCTGGAGCTTGTACAGGTTGTGACATGAAGAGGTCATTTAACAAGTTCAAAAACCTGATTCCCTTAGCTGAACGACTAGTCCCTCTGTCCCAGTTTATGTCTGGGTAATTAAAATCTCCAATAATTAATGTGTTAACCAGATTTGCAGCATCAGCTGTTGTTCCTCATCAATATAAACATTAGGTGGTTTATAATATATCCAAACCAATAACTGATTTCCCTTCTTTTGCCCCAAGCAGATATTTACCCATAAAGCCTCCACATTTTCCTCATCACTTTCCACTTGCATAAGATTTGACTTTAACTCATGGTTGACATACAAACATACCCCCCCACCCTTCTTGTTTTTCCTATCCTTCCTAAATAACGTGTACCCATTTAAGTTAACTGCCCAGTCATGTCTCTCATCCCACCATGTTTCTGTTATGCCTATTATGTCATATTGTTTAGTGTCATTAATTTATGTAAATGTACATTTTTAAAAATATTTCTTTTAATATCAGAGTGATTAAATGTTGATATTTTTTTGTGGCAAGGTAACCCTTTATCTGAGAGTCTAGAGTGAATCCAGGATGGGTTCCAAATTTAAGGCCAGAGTAGCAAATATGAAAGCACGACTGACTTGGAGAATTTTTCCAGTTCGGCTGTTTTGATCTTATGTTTTTTTTCCCCTCTTTTTTATTTAGTTAGTGTTTCAAAAATATTTTTAATATCAGAGTAATTTAAATGTTACATTTTAAATTTGTACAAATGAAAAAAAATCTCAGGCACTCACTGTGATATCTTTTATGCAGTTTTATTGAATCTGCAATGTTGCGACCTGTAACCAGGTCTTTATCAAGCTAACACCACAGGGACAAGAAAGCATTTTTATACACACATAATATTCAATTAATGTGCAACTACAAAATTAACAAAACAAGTGATTAAAAAAACAGATGATCAGTTAATTTGATCAATACACTCATTAGATCTATGTATAAGTACCTTAAAAGACATGGAAAGGATTAAACAAGTACATGGCATATGAAAGAGATTTGAGAAGGAAAGAAAGATTAAAAAGAATCCACGTATTAGTGCAGACCAAATTAGGCATTATAATAAACATACATCTCTTCCTTGTGATAGGAAGATATGGGTAAGTATATAAAATCAAAAAGATTGAATAATTAATGACAGATGTAAATACCTGAACACCTAACACTTAAAAAAAAAAAATGTGCATTAATTGAACCGCCTAGCGCACGTTACGTGCGTGATTACATCAATCAAAATGTTAAATGGAAGCCTGTAGTGGTCAATAAGGGGAAATGAGCTCGGAACCAGAGCACATGAGCAGAAAGTGTCAAACCGCGCATTGGGCACCCAGTATTTGTTCAGTACACATCCTGCTTAAAAAAACAAAAACATAGCCTGATTTTAATTAATGTTATACCATTAGGCAATATTTTCCTATAAACGGAATTTGCCTGGTGATATTTTGTGTACAGCACTAGGGGATTTTCCAGATATCTAGCAAACCATGTTTCATTGGAATAGCCATACCACTTCCAGAACAGAATGTAATTATTATTATTATTTTATGTTTTTGTATTCTCTGTAGAAGTCAGATTTTCAGATACTGAAACATAAAAACAATTTCAAATGAACTGGGTGTTTAACCAATTGCTATAATAACCAAAGTACAAAGTTTAGTACTGGTAAACTAACAATAAGCTTGTTATCAAACGTTTGCAACAATTTTGTTTTTAACATGTTAGACTTCAACTTTTTTATCAATAATTAACTGATGCCAAACTTCTCCATCTGGGAACTGATACTGTAATACAGACTCTTCTTTCATTTCAGTGGAGTAGCCAGGATCCTAAGATTAAAAAAAATACACATAAAAATAAGATATCATGATGGAACAATCGTAATTTGTTTTTATAAAGTAACAAAAAGGTTCTATAACACAGCTACAATTACTGTTGGCATCAAGAGGGAACTTTCAGAATGTGTTGTCTTGTCTAACAGTAATGTTTTATACACCTATTATTTTCTGTGGCAGTATTTTTATTTCTACATGCGGCTGTATACAAATGACACAAATACCCAAAAGGTAGATCCCCAGATGTTGTAGAACTACATCTTCCATGATGCTAAAGCATTCTAAAGGCATGCAAAGCGTCATGGGTAGTTCTACAACATCTAAGAATCTACTTGTTGGGCACCCCTGGTGGTACTGGTTCTGTATTACAGCCCTTTGAAACCTGGGCCAGGAACTGTGTTTCCCATAAATCTCTTTCTCTGTCAGTATTTTAGTGGGGGACACATGTATTTTCTCCAAGCAATTAGATTGCTCAGTTGGCTTCATCAGGATTGCATTGGAGAAAGAGTAAAAAATAAACTGAATGCATTCCAATAGGAAGTGATAGAAACTAATGCGAGCTGGCATGTTAGTTGTCTAAACTTGTACAATTTCACTGGACCAAAGGTTTAATTAATTACAATTTTACAATTTTTTTGTGAGGACGGGAACATAAGCAGAAGAATTATTATGAAGGAGTAAAAGATGTCTGTTATAAGTCCACATCCCAGTTTCAGTGCTCTCGAGTTATGCCAGGAAGGCATTAAGAAGCAAATAAAAGATTTGATGTACATTTTGATTTGAACAGTGTGGCAGAATGATAAACATATAATTACTACTTACTTTTGGTGGCATGTATGCAGCATGATGGATGGATACTGGATATTTAAAATGTTCATGGAGGTGATCCACATACTCGCACATCCTGAAAAAATACACACAGGCTTTGACAGCAATTTAAGGAAACTAGTAAATTAGGGGTTTAGTCACTATACTTGGAATTGTGGATAACTGGCAAAGGAATTGCAAATTCAATATAACCAAACTGGGAAAATCAACTAGTTTTCCAGATGGGCTATTTTATTCCACGTTTTGCAGTTTTCTTTTCAACTTCCTGTGATTTTAAATTTTAAATATTTACACACTATGGGGTTAATTTACAAGAGGGACACTGGTGAATCAAGCTCCCATACTGCATCTCAATGACACCACTATAGAGGCTGGAGTTGCTGAAATGTTAAACCATTTTCAAACCGTTAAACCCAGGGCTGCCCACTACAACTCTCATGCTTTGTATGCCTCTAGAATGACAAAGCATCATGGAAGCTGTAGTTTTAAAACATCTGGGGATCTACCTTTTGGGCACCTTTGGTTACATAGTTACATAGCTGAAAAGAGACTTGCGTCCATCAAGTTCAGCCTTCCTCACCTATGTTTTTGCTGTTGATCCAAAAAAAAGGCAAAAGACCTAGTCTGAAGCGTTTCCAATTTTGCCACAAACTAGGAAAAAAATTCCTTCTTGACCCCAAAATAGCAGTCAGATGTCTCCTTGGATCAAGCAGCTATTACCCCACTAATTAAAAATTATATCCCTGTATGTTATGTTTTTGCAAGTATTTATCCAATTGCAGTTTAAACATCTGTAATGACTCTGACAAAAGCACCTCTTCAGGCAGAGAATTCCATATCCTGCTCTTACTGTAAAAAAAAAACTTTTCTTTGCCTTAGATGAGATCTCCTTTCTTCCAGCCTAAATGTGTGACCTTGTGTCCTATGTATAGCCCTGTTTATGAATAGATTTCCAGATAAAGGTTTGTACTGGCCCCGAATATATTTGTATAATGCTATCATATCCCCTCTCAGGCGCCGTTTTTCCAAACTAAACAGATTTAATTTTTTTTAACCTCTCTTCATAACTAAAATGCTCCATTCCTTTTATCAATTTTGTAGCTCGTCTCTGGACTTTTTCTAGTGCCATGATATCTTTCTTTAGAACAGGTGCCCAAAATTGCACAGCATATTCAAGGTGTGGTCTTACCAGCGATTTATAAAGAGGCAAAATTATATTTTCATCCCGAGAATTTATGCCCCTATTTATACATGACAAAACCTTACTGGCCTTAGCAACTGCAGATTGACATTGCATATTGCTGCCTAATTTGTTGTCTATAAGAATTCCCAAATCCTTCTCGTGTGTGGTTATCCCTAGTTCACTACCATTTAGGGTGTAAATTGCTTGTGCATTCTTAACCCAGAAATGCATAACTTTGCATTTCTCTACATTAAATTTCATCTGCCATTTTAGTGCCCAGTCCCCCAATCTATCCAAATCCCTTTGCAGCAAAGCAATATCCTGCTCACATTTTTATTACTTTACAAAGTTTTGTGTCATCTGCAAACACTGATACATGGCTTTCAATGCCTATTTCAAGATCATTTATAAATATGTTAAATAGAAGTGGTCCCAAAACAGAACCCTGAGGGACACCACTTTCCACTTTTGTCCAGCCTGAAAATTTACCATTAATGACAACTCGTTGTACTCTATCCTTAAGCCAATGTTCTACCCAAGAACATTCATCTAGACCAATTTATTTTAGTTTGAAGACTAACCTATTGTGAGGAACCTTATCAAATGCCTTGGCAAAATCCAAGTAGATCACATCCACTGCAACACCCTGATCTATACTTCTACTTACTTCTTCATAGAATGCAATTAGTTTAGTTTGACATGACCTATGTTTCATAAAACCATGCTGATTATTGCTAATAACAAAGTTCCTCCCAATGAATATTATCCCTTAATAGCCCTTCAAATATTTTCCCAGTTACAGAAGTTAAGGTCACAGGTCTATAATTTCCAGGCAAACAAAGAATCTTGAAAAATTAAATACAGAGGTTCACTTATTTCCCCACTTAGCTCCTTAAGTTTAACCACAAAGCTGTACCCACCCACCCGGGAGGCTAGCAGCAGTGTCTTCGGTCTCATCCACTGGCCACCACAACGATCAGGAAGGTTTGCCTTGTTGGCTGGTGATAGGCTGAGAGTGACACCTGCATGCAATTTCCTGAACAGTGCAGCAGCCATAGGAAAACTGAGGAGGCTGTAACACCAGGTGACAACTTTGTAAGGTAAGACTGTGCCCGAGAACTCCATGCCCCATAGCTTAAGCACTGTCATCCCCTTCATCGTTATGAAAAAAAAGTCATTCGTAATCTTTGTGATATACACATTTTGACTGTGTTGAAATCTGACAGAAATTCCAACCTAGTCAATATCTTTGTATATTTCCTATGTCTGATACTGCTATACACTGGGCTGAGCTACTGCCATCCAGATGTGCCAATTCCCCCCCCCCCCTCCCACCAGTGATGGCTGCAGGTAACTGGCTCTGCCTATGGAGGTTCTTGTAGAATCCTCCAGACCTCAATGCTGTACTCTCACACATTCGCTAGATTACATCGGTGACGGCTCCTGGCACTGAAGCGTCAAATGTTGAAGAGGACCCACCAGAGGAGAACAGCTGTGCCAGTGAGAGATGGATAAGTAGAACTCACCTTTTCATGCCTTCTTGGCCCCAGACCCACAGTGGTGATGTCACCTTTGGGGGTCTTTGCAAATTCTGTATAATCCCCAGATGGTGACAGTGCCTCTTTAACTGCAATGGGATGGGAGTGTTCCTTTAAATGTTCCATAGTGCAAATTGCTGCACAAGCCTAAAATACTCCTACTTTGTAAATTGATGGTTATTCATTAAAGTCCGAATGGCCTATCAGCACACGGAGCAAAACCAACTGGCTGCATAATTCTGACTTATTTCACAATGTCCAGAATTTGCAATTCAGACTACAAACCTTCACTCAGATTTGGATTTCAGATGGACAGCTGAAATCCAAATCCTAATGCTTCAAATCTGGGCCCAGATAAAAAAAAAAAAAAAAAATCAACTATTTGTCCAATGGAAGCACATTTGCACACTTATATTGAATTAATTAAATGCACTTTAGTTAATGTTCATTTAGCCCTGGCAGTAGTTAGTAGTAGTTAGTAGTTAGCTAGTTAATCTCCCATGTTATTATTAGTGTAGGAGCCACTGACATTGGGGTACTGTGACACAGTGGTGGGCTTAAAGGGAGACTAAAGGCACCTAGACCACTTCAGCTCATTAAAGTGGGGTGCAGTGCCCCTGTCACTGTTAGTCCTGTAATATAAATCATGGCAGTTGTTAAAAAACTGCAATGATTGCATTTCAGGACTAAGATTGCCCCTAGTGGTTGTCAATAAAACCGCTGCTAGAGGCAATCCTGGTGGTTAACCAACTTTACGTAGCCTGACACTGGATGTCCTCATGCAGCGCATGAGGACATCCATTGTCAGTAAAATCGTCATAGGAAAGCATTGAGTCAATGTATGCGTCCCAGCACCGAGGGACATATAGCTGTAATTGGGTAATCGTTAAACCCTTTCCATGAGAGGGGGGAAGGCAGAGGGAACTATAGTATAAGGAATACAGATTTGTATTCCTAACACTATAGAATCCCTTTAACATAAATCCCAATATTTATTTTCTAAGATAAGTGATTTTAAGTAGTCTTTAAAATCCATCATTTAGTGAATAATCCTATAAGAATGAATATCTTATTCTATGTTTTCACAGCAGTCACTGGCAAAGACAAACAAAAGATTACATTGGGTGTGTGCTCATATTTGCATAGCATTTAATAAAGGAAAATAGGGGATAGGTTATAGCCTTGTCTTGATATGTTGTTTTAGTTTGTTAACAAAATGTCTCTAACCTGTTCTCCAGACTTCCTGAAACCGAAATATAATCAAATATTATCAAATGTTGTACCAATTCACAGAGTCCAACTCCACCAGCATGAGGACATACAGGAACTGCATAGAAAAAAGTAAAAAGTGCTTATCAGGTCATCAATGCAGCAACATGCTTTAATGTTTGGATTGTAAATGATATATGATACGATTAACTGTGATAAACTGATAATTGTCACAGGAATATTCCCTAACATATGCAGAATCTTGGATAACAATAGCTGACTAGATAGAACAGACATATTACTGGACCTAGAGAGTGGCCTGGCTTAACGTACAAAAGAGAGACATCCTTGTCAAATACAAGCCAAGGGCAGGATAACAGAGAGACAGAATAATCAAATAGCCAGGAAAATAGAGTCACAAACTAGCCAAGTTCAATATAAGAAAAAAACAGATAGCAACAAGGAATGCACTAAACAGCTACTAGGAACAGAATCCATGATAGGGAGTGTAGATAGGGCAAAATAACTTTGGGCCACTTCACACCTGCGACCCCAAAACATGTGTGAATGGGGATTCCAGATCAACTTTGTCCGCATGAAACCAGAAGTGATGTGACCCCCTCTCTGTGCCTTTAAGAGCACTCTTCGAATGTGAGCAGCCTTTGCATTTCTAGATTTCAGGCCGCGTGAATGGTTCATCAGTTGAGCGCATGTGTCTTGCACGGAAATATCGTATTGCTGTGCTGACCAGGTAAATACTGCTACAGTACTGCCATAGTCCCTTCCCCCACACAGAGTATCAATGTGCACACATTTTCCCACTATGACCTCCAATTTCTATACTATACTTCTTAGCTATGTAAAGTCACCCATTACATAAAAGGAACAGTCACTTCCCACTTTTACCACAACCAAACAGCTAATTAAAAATGACCTACATTTTGCAGAAAGATTTTTTTAAATCATTTTCTTTTCTTTTTTTTACTCACATACTTTGTCAGTCAAAGTATGTCAATTGGTTAATTCTCGCATTGCTGTGCACACTGCATCTACGCGCATACAGCACTGCAAGAAGAAAATAAAGAGACAGATGCAACTGAGTATGTCAAAATCTACAAAAGAACTGTGGTTCGTTCTCCAAGACGATTGAAACAACTTACCTGCTGAGTTCCTTACAAAACTGTGCTCAAATGTACCAAATAGAACTGCCAAGCCAATATATATGATTTTTTTTAACATCTGTGCAGAGTTGTCTCAATCTCAAAACCTAATCTGGGGTAATTTTGGAGAAATAGATTGTGTGGTGTTTTGGATGAGAATGTCATGTCTCAGGTCAAAGGCACATTCCGTTTATAGTATGAAATTTTGCCATAGTCATGGAAAATGGTTGAATAATAGCTTACAGGACATCATTTGCAAACAAATTCACTTTCTATTCATCATCTACAGACATCCATTGAATATCATGTGCATTACAGGTCAATGCAATCTATGGTTGATTATTTGACATTATTACAAAAATGCATGACATTTGCTAAAATTCAGGAAATAATAAAAACCCAGTGGACACTGATTGAAGTTATTAAGTTATATCATAAAATACTAATCAACATTATATTTTTTTCCCATCTGTCTATGTGTTTTATATTCGTGTTTCTTTCCTACATGCAACTGTCCAGCGGCGTACATACTGCGTTCGCAGGGGTCGCAGCTGCGACCGTGCCCGCCATTCCAGGGGGTCCGGCCGCCCTGCGACCGGGTATCAGCCGCCATCATCTTCTGCAAACCACCGAGGCCGCCGTCTAAGGGGTCCATCGGGTGTATGCTGTCAGGGCCACCCGATGGTTATGGATTTAAGGGGGTCCGGTCAGCGCTGGGCATGTTAACAGCGCGACCGGGCCCCCTGTGATGACATCACAAGCTGGAAGGAAGTGACCGCACGTCAGGATGCAGAGGGAGTCAGAGTAGGAACTCTCACTCCCATCCACCTGAGCCACCACTGCACCCCAGTCACCCTCCTGCACCTAAAAGGTAAGAAACAGGAGGGTGACGTAAACATTTTGTGTGTGTGTGTGTATGTGTTTGTATGTATGTGTGTCTGTATGTATGTCTGTGTGTGTCTGCCTGTTTGTATGTCTTCGTATGTATGTGTGTCTGTCTGTATGTGTGTGTCTGCCTGTATGTGTGTGTGCTTGTCTGTTTGTATGTGCATCTTGTGTGTGTGTGTGTGTCTGTATTTGTGTATGTCTGTCTGTATCTGCCTGTGTGTATGTGTGCCTGTTTTTTTATGTATGTGGGTCTTGTGTGTGTGTGTCTGTCTGTTTGTATGTATGTATCTGTGTGTATATATGTGTGCCTGTCTATTTGTTTTTATGTGTGTGTCTGTATCTGTCTATGTGTGTGTGTGGAGAGGGAGGGGAAGGGGGGGCCCACGAGTCATTTTCGCACCGGGGCCACATGGTTTGTGTGTACGCCACTGCAACAGTCGCTTTTAAATTTCAATTAATCTGATTTTGAAGGATTATTATATGATCTTACTGTTGAATTTTTTTGCCATGAGAAGTACTGCCAGGTTTTCATTCACACTTCCCAATCTACAGCTATCGATCTGGAGATATTGTAGGGCATTTGCTTGAAGAAATTGTTTAAACATTACTCTGTTATGGCACTAACAGACAGAAAAAAGAAAATGCAAATTTAAGGAAGAAAAGTATAAAATATCAAAGTTTTACATTTAAAGCATGATCTACCTTGGATTCAAACAGGAAATCTCGAAGAAAAACATATATAATAAATACTACTTCATATCTGACACAACCTTTTTTTTTTTTTATTTTTTTTTTTTTTTACAAGGACAGATATTTTGAAAATGGAATTAGCTTAAAGGCACATTTCTATAACAAAATTTATTTTGCAAAACATGTTCATCAGACACTTCTGGCATTAACGTTTTTGCTCCGGTAAAAATATTTATTATGGACACTTAGCTAAGGAATGATGAACACAATATGCCCAGAGACACACTGAAATAACATTGAATAACACATTTTGGGTCTCAACCCAGGGAGTAAGAACCAATGCTTTAATACATTTTTTACACCAAAATCCAGAAGTGAAGAAAGAGTTAATTATTATTAATGAAGTAGTGACTTCATGGCTAAAGGTGGTGGACATTTTGAGTTTGATTGGAATGTAACACATTTTCAAACAAGTTCATTGCATGCTGCTGAAGCTATATGTAGGGCTCGGGCCAATGAAAATGTGAAGCATTTTAAACACAGGTGATGTAGAATGTCTGTGTATCTCTGTGATACAGTCATACACATCCAAACAGTCTGAGTTCCAAGGAGAGAGGGAGGAAGAAACATTAGGTCATGCCACAATTCTACTACAGCAAAGGTATTTAAATTACACTAAATAAACCGCTGAATCAAATATATTTCAGGTGTTCATGTCCAGGGCCAGATTAAGAGCCCAGTGGGCCTGGTGCTGACAATTATGATTGGGGCCTAATTACAGAATCTTATCGACCAAAAACACAAAAACAGTCATACCTCTCAATCGTCATGTCTCTGATGGAGTTGGTGTTGGAGGGAAACTCAAAGGATGCAGCTAAACACATACTCTATGCTAATCTCTTTATCTAATTTATGATTTCATCTTTCAAGTAAATCCATACTCCCTAACAGCAGTGTCCAGTGAAGCAGTCTGTGTGTCCAAAGAATTGGAAGGCCAGTCACCTAAACTCCCAGTGTCCCCATGTCTCAGTGTGTCCCGTGTTACTAGGATACTAGGGGACACTGAGAGACATGGGGACACAGAGACATGGGCACACTAGGAGGCATGAAGGCACTTGTGGATACAGACATGGGGACACTGGGAGACATTGGGACACAGAGACATTTGGGAACACTGGGGGAAATGGGGTCACTGCCTTTCCCCTCACCCCTCACTTCCCTGAGCTGTACTCTGTCTCTGCAGGCTGCGAGCTGCTGTCTGAACTCTCTGTGCTGTGTAGCTGCTCCCCTGCATATCAGTGAGTAGAGATAGGCAGGGAGGGATATGCTGTAACTTCTTATCCCTGCCTCTCTCCATACACAGTGACCCCTACTGGCCGGTGCTGGTATTGCAGAGTAATATCCGTTTATACTGAAAAAAATATTTGCATTTGTTTTGCTGGTATTACTGCAATACCCTCATGGCCAGGCAGCCTCAAATAACGGTTGTGTCTTAAAATATCAGTCAGGTGGCAAACCTAAGAGTAGTGTGTAAAAAAAAAATAAAAAAATATTTAAATGGGCCTATTCCATGGGCCTGGGCCTGGAGCTGCAGCTTCATCAGCCCCTATGTTAATCCGGCCCTGTTCATATCAAAAACAAAATTCATAAAAATGTAAATTCAGTCTGCCACTTCACTAACTACAAAGGCATTTGAAGTCTCCTTGATGAATGTTGGACCCTTAGGCAGCAGCTGTTAGCTTTTTTGATGCTTTAGTCCCATAATCTGTTAACATATTAAAACCCTGTCAGCAGTCACGCACAGTTCACCTTAATATGGTAAATGTCATAGGAAACTTACTTGCTCTCCTGTAGCGACTCCAATTCCTAAAGGTGATAATGCCTAATTTAGAAACAGAAATTGAACGCATTTTCAAGCTTTTAAATAAAATGTACACTTAATCTTCAGAGCCAAACTATACTATGAATGATAACATAACACAAAAATAAAAAATACAGGTTCAAATTATTCAGTTCTATAGAATATATAGGGTGCTCACTGACATTTGTCACACTGCTATAACTCTATAGGATGGTAGAAGGTTCCCTTCTATACTGATATAATTCGTCTCTGCCCACGTAGATACAGTTTAAGAATAATTTAGTTACTATTAAATTTGAAGATGTTCCACCTAATTCACTTAAAGAATTATTCTCTCTGCCTTGCCACCACAGCATCGTAGGCATTAGTCATCTAACCTAGAACAGACAGAAGGCATAGAATGTAAACTCCACTACAGTATTAGCATCCGCAGTGGAGAAAGGAGTTGGACTACCAGAGGTCCAAGCTCCTAAAATCCTGTAGTAAACTTGGGAGCAAGTCTAGCATATTTACTAAGTACATTGTGTTTGGTTCAATAGTACCATGGGTAAGTACACATTGGTATATATATTCAGTTTGTGATCTGTTTGCTATTATCAATATTTCATACACATTCTTCTGCCACTCAAATATAATATAGACATAGTAAAGTATAAGAAATCCAGATGTTTGGACTACATCTACACTGATGCTTTGCCTTCGTTCAGACTTTAAGAGCATTATGGGACATGTAGTCCACAACACCTGGAGTGCCAGAGATTGCCTAGAGGCCTTTCAGAGATTGTATATGTGTATCATTGATAAGATGAACCTTTGAATATTCACCAACAGAGCATAAAGTCACTTAAGATAGTAAAAAATAATAATCAGAAAACCTGCTGTTGGGGTGGTTGGTAGGGCAAGATAATGAGGCCTAATCCCTTACTTGTATTCACAATTCAAGACTAAATATGTTGCTGGGTGATTTGGTTTATTATCTATGACTCTAAATAACATTATATTTTAAGGCATTTCCTAGGTAAAAGAGGGGCCTCCATTTTTAGTCTTCGATTTTGAAGTACTTGCAACATTGCTCAGATTTAGTTGCACTGGTTAACCCCTTGAGCCTTTGAGAAAGTGAGCAATGCATTCCTTTGCTAGGCCCTTGGCACCTGTGTGTTAATTTATTCTGAAGAGATAAATTACTGATTACAGGCCACACATGTCTTTTACAAGACTACAAATGTTAAACCTGGCAATTTGCTGGTGAGAAATAATTATTTGTTTGTGCTATTTGAAGTAATGAATAATGCTGAGATGTAAACAGTCGTTCACTCAAAATGTAATTAGGCCTTTGGGCGTTGCAGTCAAACCCACAGTACGCTTAGCAATTATTGCCTTCTTTCATCGTGTGACCCTTTCTGGAACAATATCTCCCATTTAGTTTACTATAAAGGAACATTCTAATGTGTGTGTGTATATATATATAAAACATTCAATATTAATAACGGGTGCACTCACAGGACTTGAAACATTTTTAAATGGTGATTTTAATCCAAAAGGTGAAGAACAATTACATCTGTAAATTGACTGAAGTTTTGACCCCTGAGGGTATATATATATATATATATATATATATATATATATATATATATAAAAACACACACACACATACAGTATCTTACAAAAGTGAGTACACCCCTCACATTTTTGTAAATATTTTATTATATCTTTTTATGTGACAGCACTGAAGAAATGGCAGTCTGCTACAATGTAAAGTAGTAAGTGGGACAGTCTAAGTACCCAAAACTTCTACTCAATTCATAGTACCTGACAGGGCATATTACACATAAAAAGTCCCCCCCCCCTTGGTGTGGTTTAGCTATTTCTTTTTCTAAATTCTCAATAATTATTATTTTCAAAACATTGTATACTTTGCTGTCCTGGCACACTCAGAGCATAACATGCAAATGAAAGGGACACTATAGTCACCAGAACAACTACAGCTTATTGTATTTGTTCTGGTGAGTAGAATCATTACCTTCAGGCTTTTTGCAGTAAACACAGTCTTTTCAGAGGAAATGCAGTGTTTACATTAGAGCCTAGTGATAACTCCACTGGCCACTCCTCAGATGGCTGCTAGAGGTGCTTCCTGAGCCATTCAATGTATCCACCCTCTGCATGCAGACACTGAATTTGCCTCATAGAGATGCATTGATTTAAGTAATCTATATGACAAGATGCTGATTAGCCAGGGCTATGTTTGACTTGTGCTGGCCCTGCCCCTGATCTGCCTCCTTGACAGTCTTAGCCAATTCTATGGTGAAGCATTATGATTGGCTCGAACCACCACTTCTGATTATGTCAGCAGACAGCAGGCAGATCCAGGGCAGAGACAGCAGCTGCAGACTTAATTTCACGTAAGATTTTACTATATTTAGGGAAGCAATGGGGGAGGGGGCAGGTGGACTAGATGGTGGTTTTAACACTATAGGGTTAGGAATACATAAGTGAGTTTTTAGTACCATGGGGCAATGACATGTTTTTAACTTGCCTACACTGGAATATTCATACTGATTCTTATTTCCATGCCATTTACTGAGGTGATTGAATAAAGAAATGTCACTTGCAATTATATAAAGAAAATTAATACTTACCAAAATCGCAATTAGCATAATTGGAAATTAACTAACTAGGACAAGGGTAGGCAACCTTCGGCACTCCAGATGTTGTGGACTACATCTCCCATAATGGTCTTACACCCATAATGCTGGCAAAGCATCATGGGAGGTGTAGTCCAAAACATCTGCAGTGCCAAAGGTTGCCTATGCCTGTACTAGGATCTACCTTTGAGATTGTTGCATGACCAAGGATGTCATCTGGTGATGTTGGTTCCTCAATCCATAAAGGTTTAAATGAAGCCAACTCAGACACACATTGGACTGCTTCATTCACATCCCATCTCTGGTTTGCATCAAGCATCTAAAATAGAGGGAGTACTTATAAAGTCTAATACTTCATAAAAAAATAACATGTGTGTTTAGTTCTACTATGATTAGTTCTAAATTGATAGTAGCTGGATACATGATTACATATGACAATTATTAATTTTGGTTATTTAATAAATAGTATTAATTAACTTTCTATGTGATTGATTAGTATAGTCAGAAGGGTAAATAAACAGCTTGAAAACTATGAAGGATACTGTGTTTAGCAGATTTCAGTAGGGTGTGAAACTTAGCATTTTGAGATTGGTAGCTAAAACAGAAATACCAGTGCATATACTTTTTCCTCCACAGCTGTAGAATATGCAACAGCAAAATGGAAAAAAGGCCAATTACACCAAATAGCACAATCCAATGGGCATCTACATCACACCCAAGCAAAAAGGAAGAACCAACCATCTCTCATCCTGTTCATTTAGTTTTTTTGACTTACAAAGCATCGTTTAAAACAGATGAAACAGAAAACATTTAATCACCATTGACAGTCTGAGAGAGAGACATTTTTGATCTTTCATTCATATTTACCATTTGGTTGTCAGGACCAATCATGCTTCTGATGAGCTTACATCTTCTCTTGTCGTCTTCTAAATCTGCTCCAACTTTTACTTTGAACCTGAGAAATTCAGTTGAATGAACCATAAAATTAGATGAAAAAGAGTGAGTTAAAAATATAGTTTTGTGTCATCATCCAAAAAGTGCAATAGTCAGTGTGGCTACTAAGACAAGCAGTGTTTCAGTGTCACACTGCATTGCTGTACACCAGTGTTTCTTAATCTTTTACGGAGAAGTACCATTTTTTTTCCAATGTAGGCTGTGCGAGTCACAGCCAGAGGAGGTGTGGCTAGGACTGCGTAAACAGAAACAAAAGTGATTTAATTCCTAAATGTTAGAGAATTGAGCTGTGAGACTGCAGAAGCATGGTCATTAAGCAATGAAGTAGTTTTTGTGCTTAGAGTGTTCCTTTTAAACATTGATAAAATTAATATAATAGAGGGTTTTATGGGTGTTTGGATGGCTCCTATCTACTTATAGCATAAATAAATTTACTTTTCAAGGTAGCTTGCTGTGATAACCTAAATAATCTTTTATGTAAGACACCATATTTATGGCAGAAAAAATACCATATTTAGTCGAATCTATGCGCACCTTTTCTGGAAAACAAAGTTTCCAAAATTTGAATGTGCATTAGATTCGATGGCGCATTACATTCACGGCAAAATTCAAAATTTTCCGGAGAATTTCATTCCGGCAAATTCACACAGACTAATTAAAACTGGTGAATTAAAACCAATTGAATTAAAACACACACTAACTGATAGACATATATTCTCTCACACACTCACAAATTATAGTTTATTTTTTTATTTTTATATAAGTCCACCCAGCCTCCCTACCTTTGGAAAATTTGAAGTGGTCATTGTGTCCGGAGTCTGTATGTACAGCATTTCGCTTTGACATACCAAGTTTAAACCCTTTGCTGCTAGAGGTGTTACTCCATCTCTGGCAGGGGTGCGTCATTGAGTCCAGGCTGGCTGATATGAGTTCTGTGCAAATGTTGATGCACAAAATATAATTAATTGTCTCAGAGCAGTCAGCTGACACTCTCAGCCAATGAATGAGTGGCAGGATTGGCATCTAGCTTCTGTAGCAGCCGGTTCTGTAGCAGCCGGATGTTACAAATCCTGCTTCACAGGAGGATAACCACTACAGCAGATATACAGATTTACAGATATAGAAATGAATTATGCATGGTTTTACAAGCTGAACAACACCAACAGATCTTGACATTAAACCTGTCTCCATATATTTTGGTACACAGGGTAAGAAACTGGAAAGGACACGTGATGACTGTGAGGGTAATTGTTCTCATTCTGCTTATATAAACATTAACAGTTTGGACCTTGAACATGCAGACACAGATTATTTCTATTATACATAGTGAATGGCTAACTGACTAGCAAATTTTAGACCAAAATAACTATTATAGATAAACTACATCTCTAAAGGACGTTTAGTGACTAAACATTCTCTAATGCTCTACACGATTCACTGTTTAATGAAGAGGACCATATAACACTTGAAAAATAGTTTGCAATATCTATATTACAATGACTTTCATACACTTGAGATGGCTATTTCATACATTTGTGGGTTTAAACGGGGCTGGCCTCAGACCTTTGGGTGCCCTGTGTAAAATTTAAGTTTCACACGTCCCCAGCATATCATCTTACCATTATTATTTATTACAAAAAAAAAAAAAGAAACGTACAATTTTTTTGATTGTCATTTTTTCAATGCATTATATAGATAATGAATTATAAAAATACAAAAAAATAAATACATTTCATAAAATTAGACTTCCTTAGGTTAGGGATTATCAAATCAAGAATTGGCTTAAACATATGAGCCAATCCTAGTGCTCTAATTATTTACAAAGGGAATGGTAAGCTTATCTCAAACACCCTTGGTCAGAAGTGACTTCAGATATGTAGTTCAGAAATTAGTAAACATTTTAATAATTAAACAGATGACAAAAGTGGCTGTTAATGCTGACAGAAAGTACAGAATGTGTCATCCTCCATCCTGTCTTGTGCACCTCTCTTCATTTACCTGTACCCAATTGTTTGCTCTCCTCCCTCGTATGGCTATAACCATCCCCCCTTTATGTGCCCCACTCCAACCCCACATTGTGTCTTCATTGCATACCTCCCAAGGATCCCTATTTAGGAGATGCAGTCCCTATTTTGGGCCCAAATCCCTCTGTCCCTCTTTTCTAGGAGCTCCATATTGTTGGTGTGTTTGAGTGTATAACAGAGCTCCACAGCTATAATACTCACAGTAATGTGTCTACTGCAATAAATGTGTTTAGAAATCAGTCTGTGTAAATAATGTACATTGTTCTTGTTCTAAAATTACATTTTAGTTGCATAAACTGTTATTAGTAAATCACCTAAAATGTCTCAGAACAGCCTCACCCCTGGCCACACCCAAACTCACACCCTTGTCCATTTGGAATTTTTTTTGAAAGTTATATCACTGTGTGCTCCTCTCCATGGCCCCTTGTTCACCCACCTCCATTTTCTCATTATGTATCCCTTTCCATAATCTCTCTTTGTGTCCCTTTCTGTGACCTCATTGCATGTCTCTTTTCAATTTAAAGGATCACTCTAGGCACCCAGACCACTTCAGCTTAATGAAGTGGTCTTTGTGCCAGGTCCAGCTAGGGTTAACCCATTTTTTCATAAACACAGCAGTTTCAGAGAAACTGCTATGTTTATGAATGGGTTAAGCCTTCCCCTATTTCCTCTAGTGGCTGTCTCATTGACAGCCACTAGAGGCGCTTGCGTGCTTCTCACTGTGATTTTCATGCTGTGATTGTAAATGCTTTCCTATGTGACCGGCTGAATGCGCGCACAGCTCTTGCCGCGCGTGCGCATTCAGCCGACAGTGAGGAGAGGAGGAGGATCGGAGGAGGAGAGCTCCTCCCAGCGCTGGAAAAAGGTAAGTTTTAACCCCTTTCCCCCTTCCAGAGCCGGGCGGGAGGGGGACCCTGAGGGTGGGGGCAACCTCAGGGCACTATAGTGCCAGGAAAACGAGTATGTTTTCCTGGCACTATAGTGGTCCTTTAAGGTTGAAATCTTAAAGTCAAGCGGTTTAATAGCTGCGGTTAAAGTAAACTGTCTATACATATATACCTGTTAGGTATAACATTTTTGGAGAACAGTGAATCACTATCTATTTGGGATGCCATGTCTGAGGTAGACTTTTTTATGGTCATTTATATATATATATATATATATATATATATATATATATATATATATATATATATATATATACACATACACGATATACAGGTAACACACAACAGAACTTTTCAGAGTACAAAGAGGAACCAAAATGCAGTGTACTTGAATAATTCAAAATACTCATATTTGACTCACCTCGTCCAACCATCCTTCAGTGCATTGGTACATAACTAAAGAGATAATAATATTGATAATGAGAGTAATCCCAACAAACTGCTAAAGGGATAGTGAGTTTTGTGCCAATAAAGCATTTAGTTATGAAGTAAGGCAATTTATCAATTTATGTCCAGCTGTTGTTGTACACTATGAAAACCTTCTGCATTGCAGTGAAAATGTCTCTTCAATAAATGTAAAAAAAATCTGGAAATAGTCAGTATGAATCCTTGCTTAATCCAGATACACAATATTATAAAGCATTTATCAAGACAATACAATCGTTTTGATAGTTCATTAGGGAAGTCTTCACTCACAAACACATATTAATTCCAGTAATATAAACTGCTGAGTAATTGATTAGTAATTCATTTTGCAATGTATCCCTTCGTTATGGATCATAATTCAGCCACAGAGTTTGATATAACTTCATTATAAAGCTAACAAGGAATACTTTTCCCATTAAAATCCGATATTATTATTATTAATAAAGCAGCAACAAATACCACAGCTCTGTACAATAGGTGGACTAAAAAACGAGTAGTTGCAACAAGACAAGTTGGACGCAGAGGAGCAGATGGTGCTAAAAGCCCTGCTCAATCGAGCAGACATTAATATATATATATAAAGTAAAGTGGTGTGGCACTCTTGGGGAAAGAAAAGCATGGGAACTAATGCACCTCCAGGTACTCTGTGGTGGAAGCCCGCAAGCAGTTTTCTTTTTTTTTTTTGCAAATATTTATTCATTAAGAGTATTTTTCAATAGAAAGAACATACAAAATAAGCAACACAGTCTCTGAAAAGAAGATGAATTATATTGCATAGATATAAACTTAGTGAGATTTACAGGTCACAGTTCTACCAAGGTATATAACAATAAGATAAACCTATTCAAGATGGTAGACACTCAGAGGCTTGTCAATGGACCTTGGCATAAAACATTTAGGGATCGGTCTATGTATGGGTGCTTCCCATCCGGGGAATGTGTGTTTAACCCCTTAAGGACACATGACATGTGTGACATGTCATGATTCCCTTTTATTCCAGAAGTTTGGTCCTTAAGGGGTTAAGTATTTGCTGAAAAAATAATAAGTTCCGCGTACAAATAGAACAGTAGGAAAAAGAAGATTAAGAAGAAGGGCAATGGTCCCTATATGTCCAACCCACCCTGTAAAGTAGCTCAAACTCCAAGGCTGTCAGGTCACCACTCACCGGCTTATCTACCTCCGTGCACACGCGCCGCATCCCCCTCTCCCTCCATGGAGACTTCACGCCGGAGCACAATGGCCACTTACCATCCTCCAGATACTATTGCCTCCCGAACGCAGATAGACAGAATCCAGGGCTTCGGGGAAATCCTAAGGCGCGTGCTGAAGCAAAGTCTTGTATAGAGACAGTAGGTGGAAACCAGGGAAGGGGGTGTCAATGAAGGTGGAGCTACAGTAAGTGGACATGCCCCCTCTCCCTAGACCCTTGACTCTTTGCTCAGTTATACTGTGCTCCTGTTGCATTAATAATACCTACAGTGCCTGTCCTGTTTGATTCCCTGATATTTGATTCCTGCTTGGCTCCTGACTAATCTTCATTTTGACCATTTTTGTACTGCGCTCCTGATTGAGTTTTTCTGCATCTTGGGCTTCATCTCCTAAACAATGTCTTGACAAAGGCTGTCCTTGCTAAGTGTCTACAGTCCCTTGGTGCTTGGTATTCAGTTGTAAGTGTTATATACGTTTGTGTACGGCCCGAAGCACTAAATGTGAGCTCCTCTATCGCTCTGAGTTCCTCCTTTCTGGAGAACCAGAGTTGTATGTAGTGTGTGTCAGACTTGCGCCACATTATGGAAAATGAATTTTTAGCGGTGTTCAAGATGCTGGTAGTCATTTTTTTTTCTTTTATCAGAAGTCACCACTGAGGTTTTGTGGAGGAGGAATGACACCGGTTAAAATGGTTGAGGTTGACCTGGAAATCATTTAATTATGTCATGTATCTATTTCAATTTTTGTGGGAAAGTGTCCAGTGCATCATGGCATCTACAACATCTACTATCCTGAGAGGGATCAAACCTGCAAAGAATCTGTCGAGTTCTGTACCACGTAGACAACAGCTTGTATGCAGATTATTGCATTTTGCTGGACAGGGAGCTGTGGTTTGTCAAGAGGTATTTAAGTCCAAATGACTGAAGTATGCCGGGGTGGGGGATTTACTTTGGTGTTGAAGGGTAGAGTATAGAATAGAGATTCCATGCTCCCCACCTCAGTTTTCAACTCGTAAAAAAAAAATCTTTTTAGTGAGTAAATGCAATGATACTGCTTTGACAAGGGAGTTATTAATGCACGGGTGATGATGCACAGCAGAGTGTAAAGAAGGATGGGGGCACAGATCTTACAGAGTTCAAAAACAAAGCTTTAAAGGCTAAACTCACTGTGAAGTGATTCATTCTTAAATATAAATATGTGTATATAAAAAAAAAATGGAACAACTATATAATGGTTTTTTTTTCAGTTGGTCTTTTATATTGGAATGCGATTAGGATTTCACTTCTCACTTTTATTAATCCATCCAAATAAGTACCAGTTAAAATTGAATTATACAATATAACTGATTGTTGAGAATTCATATTACCAATATCGTAGTCAAGCTTTGATATTTAGGTGAGTTAGCATGCTAGAAATAGATTTGTCTTAGTCATGTCTAGAGATTGACCTCAGAATACAACTGCTGTGTCACGAGAATGATTTTAGAGTTTTAGGTACTATAACTTACACACAATGATATTCTCAGATACAGATTCCTTATTTAGCATAAAATAAAGAAATGTGATAGCCAGAGTAGAATGCAGTGTTTGAGGTTGCACCCTGTAATATGAAATGTATATCTAGATTATTGCATATAGAATAATGTCATTTCTAAAAGATATATCACTGCAATCTGGCACCATATCTGAATGAACCAGCTAGATTCTCACCTTTTGTAGCTGTTCGTCTGAGTAACCTAACCAAGCACACGATGTTGTGTATGCGGGATATCCATTCTTTTCAATGTACTCCTCTATAACAAAATACACTCAATAAGTTAAACTCACTTTTAAAATACAATCTTGGAAACAATAAAAATATAGACAGGTATATACAAAGTCATTCAATGTGTTTATGGTACAATCAATCAATGTGTACATTACAAACATAAAAAGGCAATCAGTTAATTAAAGTTAATTCATCAATAAATAAATATGGGTAAATTAAATGGATATTAAAGCAGCTCTATCACAATCTTAATTGCAAAGACCCCCGATGGTCACTGATGCACAGGTAGTGCGGTGGCCAAGAAGTGATGGGAGATTTACTTGATTGAACCATCCTCTCGCAGTCATCACCATATTCTTCCAAATGGTGCTCTTCAGCTCCAGGCGCTTCAGCTGCCAGGAGCCGACTACAGAGTTGTACATTTGCACATACGCGAGAGCACAACACTGAGGTCTATGGAGGATTCGACGAGATCCTCAATAAATAAAGCCTTTTCCCCAAAAACGGCTAAGGGCTTGACAAAAGATAGGACAAGGACACTTTTCGGCACTTGCCGCAAACTACTACGGAGTTGCATTTGGAATGCAGAAGGGGTGATCAGTGACACGCACGCGGCACCATACAGTTGTTTCATCTATCGGCCGAACTGCAGGACCATGATAACTGCGACCCCCAACAACACACCTTTCCACAAACAATTGGTAGAATTCTGCAAATTGTGAGTGCATTTTAATTTAGCAATTTTATTAAAGCACTCAGTAAACACTATGGATCTCCACTTTATTTCTTTGTAGTACAGAGGAAATATCCATAACTTAAGATCCTCATATATGATCTTAAAGTCCATTACATTATATGCAGTGTACATATCATTGATACCACAACATTTTAAGAAGATATCACTGTTATTGTCCTATATACAAATAGCTCATTCAGTAGATAAACTCCAGCTGGTCCAATAGCTGGAGCTAACTGATACTAGCTAATACTGCATAAACTGTATCAACATATTATTTTCATATTTGTATCAAACAGACTACAACTATTGAAAACACTGGGACTTTTACATTAGTATTCTAATAGAATTGTATTCAGTTTTACTAAGTTTTATGAAGTTATATTTGGTTTTATATATATTTTAAAAAATTCAATACAAATACCGCACTCGAATGCATCTATTATGCATATATCAAGAAAAAATGTGGAGAGTCAATGTATAGGTATGCAATTAATTTATTATACACCAATTGTGTGTCATTCATGTGAATAGAACAAGACCTCTCATATAAATCAATAATCTCTCATACTTTGGAGAATTAATAATTTCTAAATAAATTCATATATAATACAAATACCGGGAATTCATTCAGTATATACACAAATCTACAACCACCAATCTTCAGTATTGATTTTTTTCACCATTTTTCTATTTTTATTTTTATGCTTCCAGCTTTCTGTGATTGGAAATCACAGTGCATAATCAACATTACAATTATTGATTAGAGGATCTACCTACGAAATCACTGTCCCATACACATGGGGAATATGAACTGTATATAGTTGTAAATAGTTGTAGATTTGTGTATATATCATTAATTTCAGCTAAGTGTACAATATATGAATTAATTAACTATTATAGGAGTCTATAGGATATATATATATTTGCATAAATTACACAGGATTGGTGGTTGTAGATGTGTGTATATACTATAAATTCCCGGTATTTATATTTTAATACCAATTTTTTTTAGAAATTATTAATTCTCCAAAGTATGAGAGATTATTGATTTATATGAGAGGTCTTGTTCTATTCACATGAATGGCACACACTTGGTGTATAATAAATGAATTGCATTATTGCATACCTATATATTGACTCTCCAAATTTTTTCTTGATGTATGCATAATAGATGCATTCGAGTGCGGTATTTATATATATATATATTATGAGGTTTTGATTGGGGATGAACCTCTAATACCTGCACCGCTAAGTGATAGAGTGCCAGCACCACAGATATTTGTATATATATTTATTTCACCCATTTATGGAATACTGCGCTTACTCTTAAAGGTATATATCATTTACTACTCCTGGATACCCATTAGATTATATCTAATACCTTACTCTCATTTTGTTTTGTTTTTTTTGTTTTTTTTTGTGAGAGCCCTGTTATCTCCAGTAGAGTGGTATCTATAGCCATACTATCAACTCCAAATCTAAGACCTCCAATCTCAACCACATTGACAAAAGATAGCTCTACATTTTGTCAAGAGTACAAAAAAAATACTAAAACAAAGTCATAGTTTATCTTTTGACTTGGTTGGAGTTTCATAGAAAAAAAGGGAATTGGGGGCACACCTGGAACATGCATTTTGGAGCACACCCGCCTCCTAACTTTAGATGCCCTTTTGGAGGTGATCAGAAGGAAGTATACATTTGAGGAGATTTTGATATCAATGTCCCTTTAATAATAATGTTTATTTGATATAGAGCAGATATTTGAAATGCATTGGGAGTATCCAAGCACTATTACTTTAATTAGTTTTTTACATTGCAAGAATTGCTTCAGTGTAATGAAAATGCTAATTGCCGTGCATGAACAGGAACCAGAGGGGCAAAGGCAACTGTGCTGGACATACACGGTGCTCAGGAAAGGAAGGACAGAGGATAGTAATTGTGGATGAATGACGAAACAGGGAGGTGGGGAACTTTGGGGGTATAATGGGACTTGACAAATCTTGACAAAGGAAGTAGAACATGCCTTAGGCTCCACCCTTTGTCAATATATCATATGTTTTACGAGAGAAAAAAAGATGGGAAGAATGCAAAATAGATGCAGAGAGAGGACAAGAAGAGGGAATGATAGGAGAAAGGTAAGTTTGGGGTGACAGAGCCGCTTTAAAAAAAAAAAAAACATCTGATATCTCCCACATGTACAGTAAAGTAGGTTTAACAAATCTGTGAATCCTATAAAGTCCATCACCAATGACATCTGATCCAGGCATGGAATGGGAACCTGCAGTGTTAGCTTTTAATAATATTAATAGCTCAGAATATTTATCGCTTTTCTGAGATTCCAGAGTCTCTACTTTATGCATTCATTTCTGAATCGGACTATTCAGTTGTAATAGTTTCTCTCTTTTTTTTTATTCTACTCCCCTGCTGATAAAAAATAGACTAGAATAATCACATTGTCTAGACAGCAACATTGTATCTATCTCTGCAACTTCTGTCGTGTACAGAAAATGTGAAGCAGTTTTCATTACTTTATTCAGCAGGGTTGGGAGAAAACGCAGGGTAAATAGAATTTGTTTGGAGGCAATTAAACAGCAGTACATACAGCAAAAAATGACCAAAAAAAAAAAGTCAATATCTATCTTCATTGTATGTTTGGTCAAATTAAGAAAGTTTTAATGATCTCTTTGCTTTAATATTTTCATTACTCTAACTTTCCTTAGACTATATCATTAAATTCTCCAATGAAATTCGTAATCCATTTAGTAGTTTACAGACTGTAGAGCTTTGTTTACTACCCTTTTGTTTCTCTGGTGTAGAATTCTTTAAAAACAAACACAGAAATTGAAAGCAATTTTATTGTAAGCCATTACAATTCTCTCAAGTCACAAAATAAAAAGAGAAAGGTAATGTAAAAAAAGAAATAAAACTTTAAACTCTTTGCATTGTAATTGTCTTATTAATATCATTTTCTAGTGTAAGTGGTGCATTGGCTTTATTAAGACTTACAGTACTCCTTGTGCAATATTTATTTCACAATGTTTTAAATACAAGTAAAGTTGTTTTTTTTTTTTAATCTTACAGAATTTTACAGAAAAGGACGTACATAAAATGCACAAGAGAAAGCGCGCAGGCCTCTCGTCATAAAACTTAGGTTACTGGTAAATGTATTTTTGCTATGTAACATTCCACATTCTATTATCTTGCATCTTGTATTATCGATTACTATACTAGTATTCAGTAAATGGTAACATTGCATGTAGGACTGCCATACGTCTCTTAATCAGTCACAAAAAGGGCATAATATTCTCTGAGAACATGGTGCCCTTCCCCCCCCATAGCGTTGACACCGATCCAACACCAAGTAAATTAGGGAAGGGCCTATAATGTGAGACAGTAGGAGTAGAGCAAGTATAGCTATGAAAGAAAGTGAGAAAAAGGTACAGCCGTCATCTGAAGAGGTCGAGCCCCCCACGCAGGTCCCCTGTGGCACTACACCTCACAGGTAAATACAAGCAAAGTTTGACATTTAAAAGAACCAAATACAATCTTTTAATCATCATGTTCAGCAGCAAATCAGGGGTGATATAAATTTTTTTATTACATTACGGGAAATCAGTTAAAGGGGCTCTCTGGGGACTTAATAACTTTTGACATTATAATCGTATTATATTTGTTTGCATGTTTAATTCTCTTTAGTTTTTGTAAAAAAACAAAACAAAAAACAGTTTTGCAATTTACGGCACCATAATCCTTTCCCTTAGCCACACCTCCTTTCAGAAATACAGTGGAACCTCGGAACTTGAACTTAATCCGTTCCAGAAGGCTGTTCAAATTCCCCTTAGGAATTAATGGAAATTTAATTAATCCGTTCCAGACATATCATGTACCAGATGTGATCATAAGTGTGCGCACGGGGTGTGCCTGGGCACACCCTAATCCCCGTGGCACACCTATGGAGTAAGACCGGTTCACTCTCCACTGGACCACCAGGGAAAGCAGCAGGAACAAGAATCCCCCCTCCCTACATAAGGTAAGAAGGGAGGGGGGATACTAAGTAATGTACCCCCACCTCCACCCCCACAATCACCCACACACACCACACACATACAGCACACACACACACACAGCACACACATCAGGGGCGTATTAGCCGCGAGGCAAACAAGGCATTTAAAACAAGGCAAAAAAGCCGCCCCCAAATGCCCAGGGCAAATGCCTTGTTAGCCTCGCGGCTAACAGACATGCTGGGCGGGCGGCGCTGGGTGAGCGTCATCTTCCGGCTCCCGGCCTCACTCTGCTGGCGGCGCGCGAGGGAGCTGAGCAGAGCGCTCAGGGAAAGAGCTCCCTCGCCGCCCTCCTGCCCGCCCAGCGCCGCCCACCCTGCAGCCACAGGACCCCAGGGAGAGGAAGAACCCCCCCAGTATTCCCAAAGGTAAGGAGGCTGGGGGGGGGGGTTAAATAAAAAAAACACAAGTGAGTGTGTTAGTGTGTGTGTGTGTGTCTGTTAGTGTGTGTCTGTGTGTGTGTGTCTGTTAGTGTGTGTGTCTGTTAGTGTGTGTGTATGTTAGTGTGTGTCTTAGTGTGTGTGTATGTTAGTGTGTGTGTTTTAGTGTGTCTATGTTAGTGTGTGTGTCTGTTAGTGTTAGTGTGTGTGTCTGTTAGTGTGTGTGTTTGTTAGTGTGTGTGTGTCTGTTAGTGTGTGTCTGTTAGTGTGTGTCTGTTAGTGTTAGTGTGTGTGTCTGTTAGTGTGTGTGTCTGTTAGTGTGTGTGTATGTTAGTGTGTGTGTCTTAGTGTGTGTGTATGTTAGTGTTAGTGTGTGTGTGTGAGTCTGTTAGTGTGTGTGTGTGTGTGTGTATCTGTTAGTGTGTGTCACACAGCACCCTCACACACACAGCACACTAACAGGACCCTAACAAACACACACACAAACACCCTCACACACACACAGCACACAAACAGCACCCTCAAACACACATCACACTAACAGCACCCTCACACAAGGCACCCTTACACACAAACACACACACACAGCACCCTTACACACACAACACCCTCAAACCACCCTCACGCAGCACACACACAGCAGTGTATGTATGTATGTGTGTGTGTGTGTGTATATCTATATATATATATGTGTGTGTGTATATATACAGGGAGTGCAGAATTATTAGACAAATGAGTATTTTGACCACATCATCCTCTTTATGCATGTTGTCTTACTCCAAGCTGTATAGGCTTGAAAGCCTACTACCAATTAAGCATATTAGGTGATGTGCATCTCTGTAATGAGAAGGGGTGTGGTCTAATGACATCAACACCCTATATCAGGTGTGCATAATTCCTTTCCTTTGGCAAAATGGGTCAGAAAAGTCAAAAATAGTGAGATATCTTGCAGAGGGATGCAGCACTCTTAAAATTGCAAAGCTTCTGAAGCGTGATCATCGAACAATCAAGCGTTTCATTCAAAATAGTCAACAGGGTCGCAAGAAGCGTGTGGAAAAACCAAGGCGCAAAATAACTGCCCATTGTTAAGACACCTCCCGTGTCTTTAAGCCAAACCGCCGTTTAGTAAACCTTCCCCGGCTGCAGTACAGTCTCTGTTCGCTTACTCTGTAACCCACGAACCAAATGCAGGGGAAGCGACAATCTCCCGATCGAAATCCACGAACGGCTCCAAACTCCCGAACGGCAATATACGAACTGCTAGGAACCGTCGAACAATAATATCCCCAAAGCGGCTTAAGTTCCATCCAGCAGTCTCTAACCGTGAAGAAGAAATCCCCCCAATAACGAGACAGAAGCTCCGCATTGAGGGTCAAATAAGATCTGGTTTTACTGTGGGCTACCTGCCCGTATTTATGCAGGTCTCCCACCTGGTGGACACTCCCCTAGGGGACCAAATGGAAGACTTAAATTACAGACAGATAGAAGGACATTCCTGACACACAGTCACATCTCTTACCCACAGTGCATTCTGATTCCCTCCCCTCTGTCCTGGAGTTAATTACCAAGTAACTCAATTAACTCCAGGACAAGGACAGTCGCCATTTTAAACATAAAATAATAAAAGACATAAAAATGCATAAGTACATGAAAACTGAACATTTCCCATTCGTATTACATGTCCCCAGATAGCCTGGATCTGAGTGCATATTAGCGAATAGCGCTCAGATCCCACACACATAGTTCAATCGCCATGGAGTCAAAGTTCTTACAGTCTTTCGGTATACGAATGACTCCATGGGAGGGCTATCTGGGTTAAGTCTTTTGTATGCTCTCAATCTCCCGAACGGCCGGTGTTCAAATGCTTTCGTGGAGGCAGCCAGGCGTTCCCTTGTTTCAGCGGTGTTCGGCAGAAAAAGTGTCCGTTTTCAGTTCCATAGAAATAGAGCCAAACACCGCTGGGCGTTCGCATGATTTAAAATGGCCGCTGCCTCGTGGTCGACATACGAACGACGACCACCCTGAGTTCGGTTTAATTGAGAAGTGTCTGCGGTTAACCACAACGTTATAATGGTGATCACTTCGTTAACCTGCAGCACACTCCTCACTTGGGTGGCCGTTCGTTCGGCAGATTTGTTCGGGAAAAAGAGTCATTCGAATGGCTGGGCTATAGAAACCAGCCATTCATACGAACGGGGACAAACAGACGAACGGGCAAAAATCCAGCAGACAGATGGTTCTGTCACACCCATGAACTGAGAAAAGTCAAGCGTGCAGCTGCCACGATGCCACTTGCCACCAGTTTGGCCATATTTCAGAGCTGCAACATCACTGGAGTGCCCAAAAGCACAAGGTGTGCAATACTCAGAGACATGGCCAAGGTAAGAAAGGCTGAAAGACGACCACCACTGAACAAGACACACAAGCTGAAACGCCAAGACTGGGCCAAGAAATATCTCAAGACTGATTTTTCTAAGGTTTTAGGGACTGATGAAATGAGAGTGAGTCTTGATGGGCCAGATGGATGGGCCCGTGGCTGGATTGGTAAAGGGCAGAGAGCTCCAGTCCGACTCAGACGCCAGCAAGGTGGAGGTGGAGTACTGGTTTGGGCTGGTATCATCAAAGATGAGCTTGTGGGGCCTTTTCGGGTTGAGGATGGAGTCAAGCTCAACTCCCAGTCCTACTGCCAGTTCCTGGAAGACACCTTCTTCAAGCAGTGGTACAGGAAGAAGTCTGCATCCTTCAAGAAAAACATGATTTTCATGCAGGACAATGCTCCATCACACGCGTCCAAGTACTCCACAGCGTGGCTGGCAAGAAAGGGTATAAAAGAAGAAAATCTAATGACATGGCCTCCTTGTTCACCTGATCTGAACCCCATTGAGAACCTGTGGTCCATCATCAAATGTGAGATTTACAAGGAGGGAAAACAGTACACCTCTCTGAACAGTGTCTGGGAGGCTGTGGTTGCTGCTGCACGCAATGTTGATGGTGAACAGATCAAAACACTGACAGAATCCATGGATGGCAGGCTTTTGAGTGTCCTTGCAAAGAAAGGTGGCTATATTGGTCACTGATTTGTTTTTGTTTTGTTTTTGAATGTCAGAAATGTATATTTGTGAATGTTGAGATGTTATATTGGTTTCACTGGTAATAATAAATAATTGAAATGGGTATATATTTGTTTTTTGTTAAGTTGCCTAATAATTATGCACAGTAATAGTCACCTGCACACACAGATATCCCCCTAACATAGCTATAACTAAAAACAAACTAAAAACTACTTCCAAAAATATTCAGCTTTGATATTAATGAGTTTTTTGGGTTCATTGAGAACATGGTTGTTGTTCAATAATAAAATTAATCCTCAAAAATACAACTTGCCTAATAATTCTGCACTCCCTGTGTATATATATATATATATATATATATATATACACACACATACACATACACGCGGCGTGTGTTTGTGCTTTAGGGTGCACACCCTAATGCAATAGGCTGCGCACGCCTATGGATGTGATCATGTACATGTACATCCAATCCTTCTTGACTACTGTATCAGCAACATGCAGTCACTATAGTACTTGTGTTCACTTTTACAAAGAAATCTGCCAGCCACCTGAAAGCCTAACATCGAACAGCGGTGTCCCAAAAGGTTGCTCAACGGACACTCACCTCCATTATAACCCCCAAGTTGCTGCCACTCATGTAGACAGGACTTGTCCAGTCATATTTTCTAGCTGTCAAAGGCTGACCTGGCAGATCGCTCCCCTGCACTTACACAGAGTCCACTGCATCAACCTCTCCAGAATACAGTTTGACTACTGATACTCGCGTAGAACCAGCAGGTGTCACTGCTTTAGATTACCAATGAATGCCGCATGATTTGTTCGGGTACCGAGGATCGTTCGCGTACCAAGACATTTTTAATGCAAAATTTTTGTTTGAATTCCGAATTGTTCGTGAACGGGAATGTTCGAGTTCCAAGGTCCCACTGTAACTAACTTCCTTATTGGCATGCACTCACTGTACATACAAAGATTAGAAACTGGCAGAAGTGATGTAGCTGAACTGGGGGAAAATCTCCAGCCTGCACAAGAGGAAGTGGACACTTAGGCAACAGAATAAACCCAATTAACCCAATGTTTCTCACAGAGAAGATATGTATGCACACAACGTTCGGTGTTAGGATAGAGGCTTTCCATGTTGACGTCAAAGCTTGAAATAGATCCAATAACTGAATGACTGTCACTAGCAGGCTTGGAAATGGTTAAATGTAAACCATTCTGTTTCTGAAAAATGGCTTTTATTTCATTTGCTAGGCTGCAGAGGTAACATCTGAACAAAAATATCACTTTATTAAAATGAAGTGATTTTGATGCTTAGTCTGGGAGCTATAGTTCAGGAACAGTTTGAGAGCTGCACATTTGTTTCTACAATAAGCCTTTTTCATCAATGCACCAAGAGACAGCTATAATGTTTAAATCAAAGAATACAATTTAAAGCAATTACATTTTAAAGGCTGTTATGTAAATGCCAACAAATAAATTACCTCTTTCTTCCTGTCCTCGTTTTCCATTTTGAAGGATTTCTACAAAATAAAGTTACTTTAGCTGTTCATACGATGAATGCAAGTCTTTATTCTATTTATTTTTTGTTGCCTAGGGAGTAAATCTGTTTAAGACAGTGACTCACCGAGTGCTTCATCCTCTGATAGTGCATCAGTTATGTATCTGAAATCTATGCATGATAGCAACTGAATTGGGCTCTGGCAATAAAAATGTCAGTTAAAGCATGCTACGTTCCGAATTACATTAACAAAATACGCTTCAACAATTACTTCATGAACACATAAAATTTGACTTTTAGCTAATTTACGAATTTGATTCTATTTTGCCTATTTGGGCTCAGTTAACTCAGCCAGGGTAATCTGAAGGCCAACATGTGAGCTATGTTATATCCTACTAATATAGCTTGTTCAAACAGATGTAACATTAACAAAATATGCTTTAAAAATTACCCATGGAAAAATAAAGTTTGACTTATAGATAGTTGACGAATTTGATTCCATCTTACCTATTTAGGCTAATTTTCCTCAGCCAGGGGAAACTGAAGGCAAATAGCGGAGGTAGGCCACACCCTACCTACTATATATTGTTCAAAGAGACATAACACATAATAAACATAATAAAAGAGACATAATAAACTCCACTAACCATAACCATAAATAGACCGTCAGTCTTTTTTTGGCAGAGCTATAGCCTGTCAATCTGAGAAGTTGGCAGGTGGATTGGTATAGAATGATTTGCTATAGAATTGGTACTAGGCATAGATATATGGTAACGACAGAAAAGAGTAATTTCAGCGAGTATCCCTTTTCATCTCTCTTTAATGCGTTATCTACAATTATTTCCACATGAAAACCTTTGAATGATTTGTTAATATTGATTAAAACATTACATTTTTTTATATTTTATTTTTTTATTATGCCATGTATTATTCTAGTTAATTATACATCTTTGGGAAAACTAACACCACTGAAAACAGGGCTAGTGTGCAATTAATATGACGCTCCATATAAAGAAAATCAGAATGGGATCAAGTGGTAAAGTGAGTAAATAAATATTTGTAAAATAAAATATTGTAAATGGATATACAGTGAGCAAAATAAATAGATATAGTTTCTTACCATGTCAGTCAGAAGCTTCCACAGGGGCTGAATTAATGAGAAAGATATATAACAACAAAAATGTAGGACATTTTGTGATACAATGTAAGACAATACACAACTATCTAACGGTAAAACAATTTTCATATGTTTTTTCCATACTATTTCAACCCCAACACAACTGTTGAAACCTGACAGAAGCAAGGTGTATCTATACATATAGTTTTCAATCAATTTATGAACAGATGACATAGCTATTAATGAAGCCATCTTATTTGCTCTTTGTATTCACGTCTCATTCTAGATAGATTACAGTGTAGCAATCAGCCATTGCTTCCTGTGATAATGACCAATGACGTATCAGTACAAATAATTTGTATGTCATGAAGCTCAGGGCTGAAACATAAAACTATAGGTGACAGTTAATCTATCTAAGGCCTAAATAGTTTCCATTAAGAGTTTATGGAAAAGTAAAAGCATTACATTTTCTCAGATGTAGTGTCTGATTTTGGAGTGATCATTAATATCTCCCTGTCCTTGGTGGCCAGATAATTGCTACTGGCCTTATGTTCACCAATTCTTGAACTGGCCAAGCATGTCTCCAGACCTAAACCCTATTGAGCACCTGTGGGGCATTCTCAAACTGAAGGTGGGGGAGCGCAGCGTCTCTAACATCAACCAGCTCCGTGATGTCGTCATGGAGGAGTGGAAGAGGACTCCAGTAGCAGCCTGTGAAGCTCTGGTGAACTCCATGCCCATGAGGGTTAAAGCAGTGCTGGAAAATAATGTTGGCCACACAAATATTGACACTTTGGACCCAATTTGGACCTTTCCACTTAGGGGTGCACTCACTTTTGTTGTCAACGGTTTAGACATTAATGGCTGTGTGTTGCGTTATTTTGAGGGGACAGCAAATTTACACTGTTATACAGACAGTACACTTACTACTTTACACTGTGACAGAGTGTCACATGAAAAGATATAATAAAATATTTACAAAAATGTGAGGGGTGTACTTATTTTTGTGAGATACTGTATGTACATGAAGTGTTTTATATCTTTGGGTTCTTTTCAGAGTATAAAAATGTAGTCAGTTCTTGCCTTTCTCGCAGATCACGAGTAAATAATTGTAATTTTGTGATATTTTGGTGTATGGATCAATCTTTTCCAACGGGCATATTTTGGAGTTTAATTGACAGGAGTGGGTTGAACATAAGGCAAGTTCTACTCAAAAAACTTGGTGGTGGAAGCATCTTTTAGAATATAAAATATGAACCACTGCAGAATTGGGAGCATTTAATAGCTTCTACAGTGCCTTACAAAAGTATTCACCCCATTGACTTTTTACCTATTTTGTTACATTGCAGCCTTAAGTTCAATATTTTATTAACCTGAATTTTATGTGATGGATCAGAACACAATAGTCTAAGTTGGTGAAGTGAAATGAGAAAAATATACACATAAAACTATATTTTTTAGAAATAGAAAACAGAAAATTGGCATGTGCTTATGTATTCACCCTCTTTGTTTTGAAGCCCATAAAAAGCTCTGGTGCAACCAATTACCTTCAGAAGTCACATAATTAGTGAAATGATGTCCACCTGTGTGCAATCTAAGTGTCACGTGATCTGTCATTACATATTCACACCTTTTTTGAAAGGCCCCAGAGGCTGCAACACCTAAGCAAGAGGCACCACTAACCAAACCCTGCTATGAAGACCAAGGGACTCTCCAAACAAGTAAGGGACAATGTTGTTGAGAAGTACAAGTCAGGGTTAGGTTTTTAAAAAATATCCAAATCTTTGATGATCCCCAGGAGCACCATCAAATCTATCATAACCAAATGGAAAGGACATGGCACAACAGCAAACCTGCCAAGAGACGGCCGCCCACCAAAACTCACAGACCGGGCAAGGAGGGCATTAATCAGAGAGGCAGCAAAGAGCCCTAAGGTAACTCTGGAGGAGCTACAGAGTTCCACAGCAGAGACTGGAGTATCTGTACATAGGACGACAATAAGCCGTACGCTCCATATAATTGGGCTTTATGGCAGAGTGGCCAGAAGAAAGCCATTACTTTCAGCAAAAAACAAAATGGCACGTTTTGAATTTGTGAAAAGGCATGTGGGAGACTCCCAAAATGTATGGAGGAAGGTGCTCTGGTCTGATGAGACTAAAATGTAACTTTTCAGCCATCAATGAAAACGCTATGTCTGGCGCAAACCCAACACGTCACATCACCCAAAGAACACCATCCCCACAGTGAAACATGGTGGTGGCAGCATCATGCTGTGGGGATGTTTTTCAGCAGCCGGGACTGGGAAACTGGTCAGAGTTGAGGGAAAGATGGATGGTGCTTAATACAGGGATATTCTTGATCAAAACCTGTACCACTCTGTACGTGATTTGAAGCTAGGACGGAGGTTCACCTTCCAGCAGGACAATGACCCCAAACACACTGCTAAAGCAACACTTGAGTGGTTTAAGGGGAAACATGTGTTGGAATGGCCTAGTTAAAGCCCAGACCTCAATCCAATAGAAAATCTGTGGTCAGACTTAAAGATTGCTGTTCACAAGCACAAACCATCCAACTTGAAGTAGCTGGAGCAGTATTGCAAGGAGGAATGGTCAAAAATCCCAGTGGTAAGATGTGGCAAGCTCATAGAGACTTATGCAAAGTGACTTGGAGCTGTGATTGCCGCAAAAGGTGGCTCTACAAAGTATTGACTTTAGGGGGGTGAATAGTTATGCACCTTTTCTGTTATTTTGTCCTATTTCTTGTTTGCTTCACAATTTAAAAAAAAAAAAATCTTCAAAGTTGTAGGCATGTTCTGTAAATTAAATTATGCAAATCCTCAAACAATCCCTGTTAATTCCAGGGTGTGAGGCAACAAAACACAAAAAATGCCAAGGGGGCGAATACTTTTGCAAGGCACTGTAAGTGCTTTTAATAAGCCATTTGTGAGTTGGTTTTAGTACCACCCTTAGAAACATGTATACCTCTAAGGACTAATTGTGACAATGGATTGTCCAATTTCAGCTCTTAGATTGTCCTCAAGTACTATAATTCTCTGCAAGACTAAGGCTAGAATGAAAAATAGAGTAACAGTAGCTGAACGGCTGAGGTTAGACACCATTTCAGATATATGGTTATTCTCTGTAAATCAAGAGCTGTTGCAGTACTTACCCGATGCACACACTCCTCTGACTTTCCTGAGAGAGCTGCACACACCATTCAGGAATGACTGCCTCCTAGTTAATATCTGCACTTGCATTCAGCCCTCCGATTACACTGAATGCACTTATCGGGAGGCGAATGCTCTGAAACTGCCTGATACTTACCCGATGAACACACTCCTCCGACGTTCCTGAGAGAGCTGCACACACCATTCAGGAATGACTGCCTCCTAGTTAATATCTGCATTTGCATTCAGCCCTCTGATTACACTAAATGCACTTATCGGGAGGCGAATGCTCTGAAACTGCCTGATAGAGCGAGGGATGCGGCATGCCTACCGTTTTTTTCTGTTCTGGCAGTGCCATGTCATCACTGCGGCCCCCTGCACTTTTTAGCGATCACAGGGGTGACGTAGACCAGTCGGTCTCCAGCTCTGTAAGTTTTAGCCCAATTGTCATTGCCTTGTTGTGGTTTCCTCGTATAGTGTGTTATATTTAAACTACTATTCTGGTTCTTCAGTTTTGGCTTATTTACGGACTCTTCTGACCTCTGTAATCCTGACCTGGCTAGTTATATTGCATTTCCATATTTCTGATATCCCGATCTTGGCTAGATTTCTCTTTCTCCTTTCTTTTTTAAAGTTAAACCCGGCCATTCTAAGGCCCGGTAATATGTCCTTTCTGTCTTCAGATACCTGACTAGACATGTGCGATTTGTTTCATTCCGAATGTACATAAGTAGGAATTTCATGCCATTCGGACATTCGGACGTTTATGAATGTCGGAAGTGCCAAAGTCCTGAAGCGCCGAACTTCCGAAGCACCAAAGTGATTCAGATTTCTGAAAAGTGGCAAAACAAGAGAGAGGGAGGGAAAATTATGTGAATAATGACAGGAATCTTGAGCAATAAGCTAATTCCTTTTGTGCAATGACGTCATATCCGGTACGCGTCACATCGCGGCTGCCAGCAGACCCTGAAGGACTGCGTATGACTGCATCGTACAAACATCCTTAGCCACTTATTATATAGAATATATAAAGTAGACATGTGCAATTTTTTTGGTTCAGAATGTACATTCGGACGAATTTCATGCCATTTGTACAGTCGGATGCTTACGAATGTCCGAAGTGACGATGTTTGGCAATTCCAATGTGCCAAACCGAACCGAATGCCATTGGTCCGAATGGCTGAAGCAGAAAAATTGTTTTACTTACCCGAATTTCCGAACCTAATTTTTTGCCCACGCACATCCCTATTCCTGACCTATACTTGTAAGTTTGGTAATGCACAAGAGCATTCCTAACAGATCTTTGACCAAATACGACCAGAAACTTGGCCAGAGTGTATAGGTCTAATCAGCACATTTAGTAATAGATACCCATGAGTTTAATTTCAATATTTCATAAAACATTAAAAAGTCAACCTACCTTCTTTTCTTTTTTAGCCCATAAATCCCAAACAGCATTAAGAACAGCAGAGGTAGCCAGCTGTATGACTCCTTTTTCTGGACCAATCTACAAAAAAATTATTAAAACAAATATTCTCTTCAGAGAAGAAAGATATAAGCGAATGAAAACTTATAAAATAAAACTCTGTTGCATGCTCACCGCCACCTTGCATGGTTGTATATGCTTGAATGTAGACATTGTTTGGGAAACAATATGTCTATTTATTCACTTAAAGAATTAAGGTAATGAAAGGAACACTCCAACACAATAAACACTATAGCCCAATATAGTGATTATGGCAGCAGGAGTGCCCTGGTGTTCTCGCAGGGTAACTAGACAAACAGCTTAAGAATGGTTCAGCACCTTACTTGGAGTCCACCTGGCACTGGTAGTCTCTTCCTGTGGAACCACAGGAAGTTTTAATTACAAAGAAAAGGTTAAAAAGTTTAAATCTCTTTAGTTTGGAAAAACTGTGCATCAGTGGAGATTTCATAACATTATACAAATATATTCGGGGCCAATACAAACCATTATCTGAAAATCTATTCATAAACAGGGCTATACATAGGACACGAGGTCACGCATTTTGGCTGGAAGAAAGGAGATTTCATCTTAGGCAAAAAAATATTTTTTGCAGTAAGAGCAATAAGAATATGGAATTCTCTGCCTGATCAGAGTCCTAACAAATGTTTAAATCACAATTGGATAAATACTTGCAAAAACATAACATACAGGGATATAATTTCTAATTAGAAGGGGAATAGCTGCTTGATCAAAGGAGATATCTGACTGCCATTTTGGAGTCAAGAAGGAATTTTTCCCTAATTTCTTGCAAAATTGGAAGCGCTTCAGACTGGTTTTTTTTTGCCTTCCTTTGGATCAACAGCAAAAACATATTTGAGGAAGGCTGAACTTGATGGACTTGATGTAACTATGTAACCAGATGTTCCTGCAAGGAGTGCTCTGCTGGACCAGCTCATCACCAATGAGCTACGCTTAGCACCAACCACTTAGCTCAGTGCAGGAGCTTACAGGAGCACAAGAGAAGGTGGCCAGAAAAGCTTCACAAAAGGTTTGACTACGTACCCTGGGAGGGGCAAGGGGTACCATAACCAATACAAGGGGCTGTACTGTCTATGGTGCTTAGAGTGTTAATTTATGTAAAAGTAATACCTTAGCACAAAGAAAATTCCATATTGTGCCTTTTTAATAATGCTGTATTTATACATATAGAAATACACAAAGGCAGACCAGAAAAGTAAATATAAAAACATAACTTTTATTGAATTTTGTATGATTAAAAAAAAAAAAAATCAGAGAATAATATAAAAGGTACCAGTGTGAACGATAACATCCTAAATGAATGGATGTAAACCTATCCTGTCATGAATAAATGTTCTTTGGTGTACGGTTAATGGCAGTAGCAGAGAAATCAAGGCTTACAGTTTATACATAAAACAAATGATAAGTATCCAAATAAGGACACACAGTGTAATGTTAGTATCAGTGTATATCAGAGGCAGACATAAAACAGCAGCAGGGAAAAGCAATTAGGAAGAAGAGATAGAGCCCCTAAGAATCTGACCCTGAGTGTGCCTTCAAGGACACCTATAGTAGACTAAACATGCCGAGCATGCTGCAACATTCAGGGCAAAAAAAATCCCTGCTACAGTACAAACAGAAAGAAATTACACGAATAGGTATTGCAAAAAAGTGCACAGCCAGGTCCACAGTACTGCAATCACTCCATATGCTATGAAGAAAGCTGTGTGGGAAAACAGGCAGCACTTCAAGGGGGACAGACGTTGGAACCCATTCAATTTTAAATAGGGCAGCTCCCAATGTGATAGGTAGGGAAATAAGCCAATAGAATGGTAAAATTATAATGCACATATGCCACAGCGAACCTCTGTAAAGTAGGGGGAAGCAGTGCAAACTAAATACTGGAACTAGATATTACTTATTTGTACTTAAGTACAAATATTTGTACATATCCTAAATTAAAGGGACCTCCAGCGTCTCTAAAATCCCCATAGGAAAGCATTGAAAAGCATTTTCAATGCTTTCCTATGGAGAGGTCTAATGCGCATGCAGTCTCCCCCGCCGGCTAACGTAATGAAGGGGAGGAGCAGCGGCAGAGGAAGAAGCAGCGACGTGGGACATGTTTTCACCCCTTCAGCAACCGGGAATGGGAGGTGGGAGGGAGATGGGACCTGCAGTGCCAGGAAAACGGATTGTTTTCCTGGCACTGGAGAGTCCCTTTAACTTCCTTTCTTCTCACTCTCCATGTGCAGTCTGTAAGAGTGATCTCTATAAAAGTGCTGGTATAAGCTTAAAGAGTTCCTATACTATGACGCCTATCATCATTTTCTTCTTCATAATTAGATATAATTATTAAAAAGGTATAGAAATTGTACATATATATCAATATATTGACCCATTTTCATACATCGGGGGATGTTACACAAATTCATTATTTACAAACTGAAATTGAAAAAGAAAACAAAAAGGGCAATTTGCATAATGCATGATAATAGATATTTTTTTTTACCAGATATTTTGAATACACAGTCTTACTTCATACCCTTCATACATTTTATTGACACACTGTGTATGACAGTGAACATGTTTTATGGCATGAATAGCTTATTTTAGATTGTTCAGCATTGTGAAGTAGCCTTTTAATTTGCATCATTTTACAAGTATCTGCACCATTGTGTCATATGTGTGTCAATAAATGCACACATTTTAGGCAAGCAGGAATGACGCTGGCCAATAGCAAGGAGCAATAGTTGCCAGAGGGCTAACAGAATAAATAAAATTAAATAAAAAAGGCTTACTACCCTCTAAGGAACCAGTGTGTTGGCTGAGAGTAATGACATCATCATATTCAGACTCATTGTGAATAGGACTTTTAAACTGCGTCATAATAATATAATTGATGTAATAAATATCGAACAATCAAATTTAAACAACAAAAGGAAAATGACATCAAAGCTGGGTCAGAAATAGAACTGACTCAACAAATGAAATTTCCTCACAGAAAGCAAATACTAAAATCAATAAAATATGATAAGCTAAGATTTTTAAATAGTTTACAAAATCAATGACTTTATTTTATTTATTACAGCAGTGTTAGATGATATTTATGTCAGATTTAATTTTTTATTAAGAGTTATTTTTTTGTATTTTTTTTTTCCCATGTGTTATTTTTCTTAAGGAGTTTATCACTGAAAACAATTGTACATCATATTTGTAAGGCATAAATAAACATCTTAAAACATGAGATCACGACTAATTTCTTTCGTACATATGCCAGGATGAACAAAACCGCAGATATTTAGGAATCGGCAGCCAAGAAGGAGCCGGACATAAATTTTAACTTAACTCAGTTAAACTCAAAGGAATCAAGATGGACAGAGTATGAGGCTATATTTTGGTCTTTAAGCTACGGTAATCTTTTCTGTCCCTGCCTGCAGTGTTTCCCCTGTTACCACTATAAAACTGTTGTAAAGGTCATCAGGAAGCACAGCAAAGGTTTCTGTGATTGTAAGTGAGTTATGAAAAATAAAATAAATGTAGAAACCCATATCTCTTTATCTTACAATGAGAGACTCCATCTTAACTTCCGGTCAATCATTGTAATAACTAGGCCGTTTCCAGTCTCAGAAACATTTGCTGTATGTTTTCTCTGTGCAAACCATTTCTCCTCTTTATTTTGCCCTGGCCTTCACATGTCTGAACTGGACTGTAATGTAATTTTCTAAATCTTTAATATACATTTAAAAGAAAACAGATAATCTCATTAAAAAAATAGGTTAACACCAGCTATGGGTGATTTTTAATGTTTTAAAGTTCCCCAATTTGTGGTGCTTGTACGAATGGTTACTGTAGTAGACAGACTCTTCCCAGACTCTTTCTGGTTTATAGGTTTTTTTCTCATCCCATAAATCACGGTCCAGCAGGGGATTATATGATATTTAGTTTTGCCATTGAACTCCGTCTCACTCCTCAAAATGAAGGGATCTGTTTGTGAAGAAAATAGACTTTTGTTCGATATTTTCTTCTTTGTTCGGGCTTTTTCCTACAAGTATTGTGTGTATATTGAATTTATTGGTTCGGTAGTTTGAAACTACCGAACACCGACCACCCTCCTGGCTCATTAACTTCAAAGGAACCGTCTATTAAGTGCTGTCTGGGCGGCCGCTGTTCGTGAGCCGAATGCCACGTGGAATAGAAAACAGCGGCCATCTTGTTCGCACGAGGGGAGTCAGTGGGAATTGGTCGTCGAGTGTCTGGAACTAAAATCGGACACTCAACCTCACGAACCACCGCTGAAACTACCGAACGCCTGCTTCCTTAGGTTGCCGAACAGCCAGGAGAGCGCCATTCAGTAGTTTTGTTCGTACAGACAAGGGGAGCAATCGCTCCTATGAGCCAGGAGGATCAATTTGGTACTTTGTTCATTTTTTACCTTTTTCTGAATTGACCGACCGCACACGCTGAATTCGTGGAACTGTTTTGGGCAGGAGCCTCGTGTGTGGTCGGTAAAATGGGACTTCCATACATTTTAAGAACCCCTGAACCGATCTGGGTGATATTTGGATATGTTTGTCCCCCAGATCGGGGCTATCAGGGGATAATTTGTGGGGATACCTGATGTGGAAAGGGGTGTTCCAACTTTTGGGAAAATTGTGTGCCCTCTGCCTGGAGATAATTGATTTATTCCTTACCTTATCGCAATATCTCCCAGGCAGAGAGAGGGCGGGTATTACTGTAAATCTGTATAGTGATTGGTTATTGTCTTTGTTTGCTGTGGGAGGTCCTCTTGCAGGAGGATTTCTCATAAAATTCCTGTTACACCCTTCATGAAGTCTAGGCTCATGTTTGGGGGATATTCTGTTTGTTGGGGAGAATCATCTTGGAAACTGCATTCATCTATACTATTCCTCCCCTCCCTGCTGCAGCTATAATCACTTATGCTCAGGTATTGGGAAAGGAATAGAAGACCACAGTACCATAACCACTGCAGGTCTTAACACTGTTGAATAAACTGATAGCTCTTTAAAATGTCACCCTCATTACAACTCCTCTTTAATTCACAAATACAGCACCTCCTCAGTCACTTTGCTTTGTTAGTGACCTTCTCTTGTCTTCTTCTCATTATCATTCTTTTCATTCTCAGTATTCCTATCGTCACCTACATAAGGGGAAAAGGGTTACAAGGGGTCACTGCCTGGCCAGAGAAACCATACAATGGTGATGGGGCAAAGAGTGTCCATGTGCAAAGGTCTGGAGATGAGATAGGTTCCTCAATTAGCATTGGGCTTGAGGCATAGCTGGGTTCCTCCATGCTGTGAGGCTCTGATTTTAACACCCTGCACCCCACATACTGCTTGGGGCCTTTGCAAAAAAATGGATCTTGGCCTTCAATTTCAATAGACACTACATTAATTTGGGCCTTCATTTAGCTTCCGGTTCAGTCTTATTATTCACTTTATGTTACAGTTACACATTTAAAAAAAAAAAAAAAAATAACGAAAAGAGATTTTATGAATTATCAGATTTCACAAGAGAAGAGTTTATAAATCAAAAATGCACTTGAAAATTATTTTATAAAATCATACCCATCGTAGCTGTCCATCACTTGTCAACTGTCTGTAGAACCTTCTGAAATCAGTGACAATATCTTCTAGAGCTCTGCCAACAACATGTCTTGAGAGAGCTTTCACAGCGCACACCACTGTAAAACAAATGTATTTAAAATTTTAAATGATTTTGATTAACACAGCTTGGTTAAAGAGTGAAAGATGTAACCATTTCTGTAGACAACATAACTGCCAAACAAGTGATAGATAAATAGAAAATGGTGAGAGCACTCAATACATAATAATATTACCCACAATTAAGTTAATATCTGAAAAAGAAACCGAAAATAAAATAGGGTAATAACGCCAGAGTAAAATATACAGCGTATGGGTAGATTACACTCACATACGGGGAGCCAATTAGAAGCTGGCTCTAGCTTGCACGCCTTGAACAGAGGTAATCCTTAGGACTGGAACAAACTTTTGCTGGGCTCTTCCCAAAATAAATGTGGAAATCAGGAACGCAGGTCCAGGATTAAACACACACTTTAATTAAGAATAAAATAAAATAAAAAAACTTCATAAAATAATATATAAGGAAAGTCCCATAAACAATATATATAAGGCTTTTATGCCGAAACGCGTTAGGTGATTTCCAAGGAGATCCTGGGACTATTTATATATATTGTTTATGAGACTTTCCTTATATATTATTTTATGAAGTTTTTTATTTGGTGAGATAGCTGAGTGGGCTAATGCATCAGTAGACTCTGTTCAACCCTTGGTTTGCAGGTTCAAATCCTGGTTCCATTAAATTGGGTAATAGTAATAACAACCCCTGGTTGTTGAAAGGTAACATCCCCAGGATGTACTTGAAAACCAGAGTATCTTTCCTGGTTAGTGGAATAGCCTTCCACCACAGTAAAGGAGTTTAAGCTATCCTAAATATCAGGGACTAATGAAAGTATTTCAGACTCAGAGGATCGCGAAAATAAGAAAGAGAGGGTTGCCTTGATGGACCCATAGGCCCTTAATAGGTGTATAGCTCAGAAATATATATATGTAATCTTTTAATCGAGGTAGAAAATAAATATATGCAATAGTGTAAAACCATATACACCACATGGTTTTACACTATTGCATATATTTATTTTCTTAAAGGTATTCAACCTCGATTAAAAGATTACATACCTTAAGGTATATAAGATACTTTGCAATTGGCACTTTAATACCCATATACTTTTATTCCACACTACACTGTATGGTTCAGAATGCATGACATGGCTAAAAGATTTTAAGATAGTTCCTATTCAAGACTCACTGCAGCAGCTGCAAACCCAATGGAACTGCAGAAAATGAATGAGAGGCAAAAGTGTGCATCATTTTTGTTTTTAAAAATTATTGTATTTGTTATTATTTTGTTAAATGCATTGTCTATAAAAAAACAAAAAAAAAAAAAAAACAAAACCTTAACAATGTAGGGAACTCAGAATTCTCATTATATACTCATGTTGCATTTAATAAAATATTATTTCCAATAACATTATTTAATTATTTTGTAATAATTTTCTGATTGGTGTATCCTGATGTTTGCCACAGACTGTTTGTTCAGTTTAGAAACCTTTTAGTTGCCTCATGTTTTCAAAGCTCACATATACATTTGCTTATCTTTAGATATATAGTCCCACCTTATTTATTTTCCTTTTCTTTTTTAAATATTATTTATTTTTGTGGTGCTTTTGTTACATAACAAGCTGAAATTGACGGTGTTACAAGATGGTCATCAGCAGAGCCAGATTAAGAGCCCAGTGGGCCTGGTACTGACAATTATGATGGGGCCTAATTACAGAATCTTATCGACCAAAAACACTAAAACAGTCATACCTCTCAAGCGTCATGTCTCTGATGGAGTTGGTGTTGGAGGGAAACTCAAAGGATGCAGCTATAAGAAAACACATACTCTTTGCTAATTTCTTTATGTAATTTATGCTTTCATCTTTCAAGTAAATCCATACCCCCTAACAGCAGTGTCCAGTGAAGCAGGAAGTCAATGGGCGGGGTAAAAGAGTGGGCCACTGATGCGAATCACGTAACCAGAAGTGGCAAAATGGGCAAACATGCCCAGAAAGGGGATATGTGTGTCCAAAGAATTGGAAGGCCAGTCCCCTAGTCTCCCAGTGTCTGTGTCTCCATTTCTCCCAGTGTCCCCATGTCTCAGTGTGTCCCGTGTTACTAGGATACTAAGGGACACTGAGAGACATGAGGACACAGAGACATGGGGACACTGGGAGACATGGGGGCACTGAGAGACATGGGGGCACTTGTGGATACAGACATGGGGACACTGGGAGACATGGAGACATTGGGCGACATGGGGACACTGAGACACGGGGACACAGAGACTGGGAGACATGGGGACAGAGACACTGGGAGACTAGGGGACAGTGGGAGACATGGGGACACTGAGAACCTAGGGACACTGGCTGGGAGGCTTGGGGACACTGGGAGACATGGGGGCACTTGTGGACATAGAAATGGGGACACTGGGAGACATGGGGACACTGAGATATTTGGGGACAGTGGAAGACATAGGGACACTAGGGACACAGACACTGGCAAGGGGACACTGGCTGGTAGACATGGGGACACTGGGAGACTAGGGGACACTGAGACACTAGAGGACACTGGCTGGGAGACATGGAGACACTGTGTTCCTAGTGTCTCCGTGTCCCAATGTGTCTACCTATGTCTCACAGCGTCCCCATGTGTATCAGTGTCCCCATGTCTCACAGTGTCCAATAGTGTCTCAGTGTCCCCATGTTTCCCAGTGTCTCAGTGTCCCCACGTCTCCCAGTGTCCCCAAGTGTCTAAGTCCCCATGTGTCCCCTAGTGTCTCAGTGTCCCCATGTCTCCCTGCTACCTTTCCCCTCATCCCTCACTTCCCTGAGCTATAGTCTGTCTCTGCAGGCTGGGAGCTACTGTCTGAACTCTCTGTGCTGTGTAGCTGCTCCCCTGCGGATCAGTGAGTAGAGAGAGGCAGGGAGGGATATGCTGTAACTTCCTATTCCTGCCTTTCTCCACACACAGTAATCTCCGTTTATACTGAAAAAAATATTTGCATATATATTGCCGGTATTACTGCAATACCATCACAGCCAGGCAGCCTCAAATAACGACTGTGTCTTAAAATACCAGTCAGGTGGCAAACCTAAGAGTAGTGTGTTAAAAAAAAAAAAAAATAAGTTTAAAAATTTTTTATTTTTATTTTTATTTTTAAATGGGCCTATTCCATGGGCCTTGGTCTGGGCCTGGAGCTGCAGCTCCATCAGCCCCTATGTTAATCCGGCCCTGGTCATCAGTTTTTATTTTTATTTTTCAACCTCTTGAGTAACAATCTAATCTTGCTATATACTGTGTATTTTTGCTGTTTATTTCCATTTTTAGTATGTTTACGCTATGGCATTATCCGCTTGTCTGTTCCATTTATCAAATAAAAAGGTGCTGAACTCTCAACGTTAAGAGTCCAGACCACAGCAAATTTTGTACTTAAAAAGGTTAACTGAAAACAAAAGATCAAACTCTAGCAATCATATAATAAAATATATTTTGCTGTATATGAGAAGCATAGCCTCTGCCCTTAGAGGGATGGATGTCTTTGTAGTACTTGAGTCCATACAAAATGAACAGGATGCCCTACTGGACTTCAGCCACCACACTCATCCGGACAATGCTTCTTGTGGTCTGGCCTCCATTGTTGTGACTAGTAAGCTTCCTGGGAGAGACATCGATGCTCGCCGCCCTTGTAGGTCATACCGTGAGGAGATTCCCCGTGCAACATGCCGTTCAGGTAGGTATGTGCCAGCTTGAGAGTTAGGTCGTTCCAGTTGTGGTCTCCACTCGCGTCTCCTGTATTTTGTAGTGCCCTGGCTGATTGCACTGGTGACATACTACAGGGGTTCTTCTATTAAAATTAGGCTGTGTCATGGGTGGTACCGGGTTAGGTCTGGGGTTGGTTACAGGACCTGGCGTTGGGGCGCCGTACCTTCCTCGACACCATGCGCGGCATATCCAAATGAGGTCTCATTTTGCTACACCGTGGGGCAGTCGGGACCTGTGAGGCCTCGACCCAAACTATGGGAAGTCGAGGAAGCACGCGGTTACATAGAGTCTCTCATAACCCCTCCCACAGCTGGCCAAGCTTTTGGAGAAGCAGTTCCACAATGGAGGGCTGCTGTGTGGAGGCCTCAGGCACGGCAGCCATCTTAAAAGACAGGCCTCGGCCCCCCAGAGTCACCTGATACTTCGGTGTCGCTGGTAAGGCTTCACGAGCACCTCAGTGGGGACTGGGATAACCCCCACCGGTCCATAGAGGGGGGAAAGGAGCTCGGGCATAAGGTATTTGGCACACCAGGGCAGAGCATCGTCCACATACCCTGGCTTCAGCATAACCAGCATAACAGCAGGCCGCAGGATAATTTGTCACGAATGAATGCCAGCAAAAACCAGGCAGAAGTTGGTCAGACAATTGGCAGAGTGTAAGTAAGGAAAGTTTGTGCCAAGATTGCACTTTGGACATCGAGGTTTTAGCTGACTAAAAGGCTTTTCCTAAGGAGCTCTAGTTACATGCGACCAGCTTGGTCAACTGTCAGGCCCCGCCCCCTCTGTGCATTTTTATATATATATAAAAGAAAACACATGGTCATTTTTGTCACTCTTTAGACATTATGGGAAGTATTTAACAGAACTGCCTGATAAACTTTCACAAATTGTATTGGGTAGCCTGAGAGAAGGCTTAGAACGTCAGATGAAACAAACCCTCACATTCTTTTGCACAAAATTACCTATTACGTACCAATTTCTGTGCCTTTTCCCAAGGTAAAAGTAAGTCCGTAGCCCTTTAAACCATCATCTGCATCAGTTTCAATCACAACATAAGCTGCTGAGTAATCAGGATCTGTGTGCTACAGTAATAAAAGAGAGATATACAAATCATTGAGTAACTCACAAATTAGTACTAAGTTTGTAAAATTTCTACACACTATTATAGAACGGTTTGATTTCTTGCCTGGAGTCGTTTCGGTGCCAGTACCCACCTCCACTGCTTACATTTGAGAGCTTGCATTAGCTCTCCTGAGCTGAGCTCTGCAGTACAGAGCTTGCTCGTTGTCTGAGAACATCAGGCGATTGCACTTATCTAACCTCTGCACTGCCGGTTCTCTGTCTGAAGTAGTAGAGGCAGGTAAACCCAGGTAAAAAGACAAACCATTCTAACACAGTTTGCAAACTTAAACTGGGGGAGGAAGGGTGTCAAGACATTGATGCCTTTCCTGCAGTTATTGCTTCCAAAGTTGGAAAACATTATTCTGTAAAACTAGATGTAACTCTTGTTGTTGCTGTCCTTGTCACTGCTGTTAACCAAATGTTCTTAATATTAAAGGAACACTCCAGGCACCAAAACAACTTCATCTACCCTTTAAGTGTATTCAGAACCCATATTTGGGTATGATGTACATGTATTTGCTGTGTTATGGATTTCACCATGTAACAGTGCGTATTTGAACTTTACTTGCTTTATTCATCAACCAGAAATGTTTTCACATGTTTGTCACTGTTAATTGGGGAATTGAAAGGGACATAAAAAGGGTAAATGAGTGAGGTTTGCACACGTGTAATCCAGCTATGTTAGGTATTTTGGACTAACTGCATAGTCTAGTGAATGGAAACCAAAGTTTAAAAATATAAATGGAGTTGAAAACAATCCAACTCAGCTACTTTCCCAGTGTGACTTATTTTAGCCTAATTTTAACCATTTTGGTTTACAATTCTCAACAATATATTGTTTTGTTTTTTTAAATACATTCCCAAGTAAGCCATATAAAACTTCAGGCTCAAATAATCAAAATCTAGCAGAGACAAATGTCTTTGATTAATAGGTCTCATCCACACAAGTTTTGGCATTCTGGCATCAAAACTGTATAGATTATATGGATGCCTTTGCAGTGGTGTATTTTGGATTGGTGCTGCCCTAGGCATGATGGAACTCGGGCACACCCTAATTTAAATTTGCCCAACCCCTGCCTGCCAAGGCCTCACCTCTTGCTGTTAAAGACTAACACACATCGACACACACTCTCAGATACATTAACATACATACACACACATACTCACAGATTTGACACAATCTGACAGACACACAATCATTCAGACACACACTGACAGGCACAAACACACACTGGCGATACGCACACTCACTGACAAACACACACAATCACGAAGTACACCTTCACTAAAAGACACACACGCTCACTCACACATACATTCACTGACAGACACACACACATTCACTGACAGACACACACACACACACACACACACACACACTGAAAGAAACCCACAATCACTCACTGTCAAAAACACACACTCACTGACAGACACACACACATTCACTGACAGATACACACACACATTCACTGACAAACAAATGCACACACACACACACACTTTCCCCCAACACTCCCAAATTATAATTTTTTTAAATTTAAATCCACCCAGCCTCCCTACTTTTGGGAGAGCTGGATGGATTATTTACCTGGGGTCCAGTGGGGTTGCTGGGTAGGCAGGCAGGCTGGCAAGCTTGCGGGTAGGCAGGAAGGTAGCCGGGTGTCTAAAGTAGGCGGCGAGGGAGCTGTGCCGGGAGCTGGACTGACATCATTTTGCAGATCCCGACACCAATACGGGGCACGCAAGGGAGCTGAGCAGGAAAAGCTCAGAGGACAGCATTCCTTCATTGTCTACCCGGAACACAACTGGCTGCCTGCCCCAGGGGGTGGGGAGCAAAGGTGGCCTACAAGCTCTTGGGCCCCTATAAAACGAGACTAACAAGGCGTTTGCCTGGACATTTGGGGGCAGTATTTTTTGCCGCCCCCTGGAAAGTGCTGCCCAAGGCAAATGCCTTGTTAGCCTCACTGTAAATACAGCGCTGCGCCTTTGTCACTTTATAGCAGAGTCCATTTTATATTGGTGGCACAATATATAGGGCGAGGTTTTTCAAGGTAACATTTGTTCTGTTCTGGGGCAAAGTGCTAAATATTTACAGACATTTTATTGGTTTCTTTTTTGATTGCTCTTTATTTGTCATTTTGCACCAGAATGGCTCCAGTGTCCAGTGCTCTGATAAATCTCTCTAGTCTAGTAGTAAAGTATAATGCCTCAAGTACACAGGAAACACAAGGTTATGAAGCAACATACAAGATCCAGTGCACTTGCTCATTCACTAAACAGCAACGTTAAGTCTCACAGAATGTAATAAATAGTCTGATTTAAAAACACCTCACGTAGGCAAAAAAATACTGGGGGTTTAGTTACATTATATGATCCATATATTGTATAAGCCTGCCACAACATCAATGTACCCCATTCTTGGCAGGTCCTACTCTAGCAATCTAATGCCTAATTTTATGAGTTTAATCTACTTAGGAAATACTTCCTCCTGGGACTCTCTGCAGTGCATGGTTAAATACGGCCCTTGAATGAGTCACCTGTGACAGGGAGGGGGGCAAAACCAAGGAGTTGGCCTGGTCTCCTAAATATATATATATGAAACCAAGAGGCTGCACTCACTTGAACATGCATACAGTAGAGGGTGCTGCTGGGGGGTGAGTGTAGCCTCTTGGTTTCATATGGTTATAAAGCAAAGTGGCCTAGGTCAGTTAATTTAGTCTTTTTAGTAATGATCACTTGTCACATGTATTTATTTTCAAATTAGTGAATTTTGATGAATAAAAAACTAACTTACAAAACTTGGGCCAAAATAGTGGAGTTTGAAAACTCTCAGTTATATTTCATGACTCCTGCTTGGGTATAATTCCCAATTTGTCCATTCCGGCCTATGTTTCGCAATCCAGTTTCTGGATCACTGCAATTCCCGATTTAGTAAATAACCAGTGCAGTGTGTTGGTTAATTGTCTGTTAACTGGAGAAATCTCGAATCACTGATAGGATTACAAGCCTTGTGGTTAAGGTTGGGCAAGCCTACGGTTAATCCTGCCAGACACAGTGTGAATGTGTGCTACAAACTTGCACGGGAAAGGTTTATTTTAATTTCTTACCATGGCATCAGAACCGTGGTGACCCAGAGAGGTCGGGAAACGGACATCTGTCACTATGAGCCCAGTGATCTTTCCTGCTATCATGGTGAGGTTTAGTGTCAGACTGTGAAAGAAGGAACAAATGCTGACAGCATGTCTTTACAGCCTTGTGGTAAACAATGTTTAAACTTCCTCCCTGGTTTTCCACTCCCCTGACAGCTGACTGGCTCCAGTTTTCTCTGAAACTGCAGCGTGGTTAACCCTGCACTCAGCATTGGTTGCCTCTTTCTCTTTTGTTTTATGCAACCGAATGGAAATAAAAACACCCAGATACCCAGATGCAGATGTTTGTTTTTTTTAGCACAGTTATACTTAGCAGGTCTGCTGATTTCAGATGGTGATTCTTGCAAGGATGGCTGAGGATGATGAGTGTATGTGTTGTTGATGTATAGGGATTTCCAGCGTGCCACATTAAAACGTTGTTTTTGTGTGTAGTCGTGTTGGTGTTTGAATGCTGTTGTGTGTTTGCATGTACTGTTGCCATTCGAATGCAGTGCTGTAATGTTGGTGTTTGAATGCAGGGTTTGCGTTTGTGCGTACTGTTGTCATTTGAATGCAGTGGTATATTGAACTGCAGTGTTGGCATTTGTATGCAGGGTTTGTGTTTGTGCGTACTGTTGTCATTTGAATGCAGTGGTTTATTGAACTGCAGTGTGTGTAGTGTTGCCGTTTAAATGCAGCGGTGTGTTTGGGTGTAGTGTTGGCTTTGGAATGTAAGGGTATATCTGTGTGTTGTATTAGTGAATGCAATTGTGTGTTTGTGTGTAGTGTGTGCTTGAATGCAGTATTATATTTGTGCCAGGGGAGGGCTGGCAACTTGTGACAATAGTCACCATTATTGGGAGCATAAGATGGACATTTTAATAAGGTCCCTGGATGACTCCTATGTTACTCTGTGCCCACTGTGGGTGCAGGGTGCGTGTAATGTGATTGCGTAATAGTACTTACCTAGTCCTCGTGCCGGCAAGGGTCCTCGGATGTAGTCACATGTGGCTCGCATTAAGGCAGGAGTGATCGAGCTACGCGTGGCTCCATCCGAGGATCCCTGCCGACACGAGGACTCCTTGCTTCTTGCGGGCTGTGCACCCCGAACGGTATTGGGAACGCTGCTCGCGTCGCGTGTGCGCTCTTAAAGGGGAAATGGGAGCCTAACCTTGCGGTTGGCTCCCATTGGCCCACGTCATTCCGGCACCCCCATTCACGCACATTTTGGGGTGGAGGCATGACGTTGACCAATCAAATAAAAAAATAAAATAAAAGTATTTAAACTTACCTGTCCCTAGATTATGTGCCCTTTTGTGGTTTCTGTTCCCAGTACCCTTTGCGTTCCTAGTGATTTGTATTTTATGCCGGTATTGACCTTGTTTCCTGACTCTGAGTTTCTCATTAATCCTTGCCAGTCTTGTTTGCCCATCTGATTTTTGCCATGTACCTGACTCTGGCTAGTTCTCATTTTCGCTGTCTCCTTGGCCTAGTATTTAGACTACGTTTTTCTCTGTCTAATGATAGGTCCGGCCACTCTATGGCCCGGTAAGACTTTTATTCTTCATTAGTCTGTTCCTTGCTATCCTAAACTCTGCGTATTTGGGTTAATATTCGTGACAGACAGATTGGTGTTAAATGTTTTGTGTGCTTTCCTTTCCTGCTGATTCTCTCAACCAAATAGGTGGCTTTGGTCGTGGAGCCTGTACAGTGCCATCTGTTGATTGTAGGCATCCTGAAATAGCTGTATGTACTACCTGAATAGCAAGGCTTGTTAATTTGCATATTCAGGTAGATTTGCATATTATGAATATTGCAGACAGAAAATATATTTTGTGTTATTATTGTCTTCCCCGTCCTTTTATAAATATGTTGTTATAAGTTCCTGTATGTTTTCTGATATGATTTGGTTATTTGTATTATATTGAGTTTGTCACAGCAAGTTTGATGTAATGAGCACATGGGCTGGTCCCAAGTAAACATAAAGCTTTGTATTGTTCATTTTGAAACTGTATCCTCTGGTTGATTTATTCAGGGATCCCAGTAACAGAGTATTTTGACTTGTTGGCTGGTTGCTTGGTCCCTGTATCCTGGAACAAGTTAAAAAGAGAGCTAAACTGGAGAGATACAAGTACCTTTGTAAAGGCAGTAGCTAATTACAGCCTAGGTAGAGGTGTGTATACCTGCCTTGGAATGTAGCTGAAGAGCCAAGGGCAGAGGGGATGATACCTGCCTAGAAGAAGAGAGCTGCAGCCTGTTGGGTGGAAGAGTTTCTGAGAAACCCCAATGAAGCTTTGACCATTGGGACTGAAGATTTCCAGGGTTTCCAGGGTTTCCAGGGAAGCGGACTTGGTGGACTTACACACATTTGGTGGCAGTGGATGGCTTCCTAGCTATTGGGGAAACAATCAAGAAACCACCAGGATCTTTTGGAACTCAGGGAGATGGACAGAGCTAACACCTGTGCAGAGTCCTCTTCCGAGGAGTAGTTCCAGATGAGCGTTTCAGAGGGATTGCTTTCCTCAAAGACAATCCATCGGCAAAGGTGCTGCAATTGATCTAGAATGATGTGCTCATGAAGAGAAGTGGACCTGCCTGGTCAGCCATACATGAGCAGAGGCAGAGCTAACTAAAGAAATAGAGTCATAGCCTAACCAGGAGAGAGAGCTATGGAATCCCTTCATCTTAAGACCTCAGCCTACCCTGCAGGATATTAAGTGGCTGGATAGCTGGATTCAGGATGTAATATATCTGGAGGACCATTATGGAGCCTTACATTCCAGAGCATGGCATGAATACTGTAGTGAGCCTGAGGTCTACTTCCCACAGTGTCTACAGTGACCCTGGAGCCTTGTGGTATTCCATACAATATGATGAAAACTACAGGGCTGAAAACAATGTCCAGGTCTGGGAGATACAGTGCAGATGAATAGAGGAGTTGGGTATTGCACATATTTCAGATGGCTAGGGTGAACTGATGGAACTCATGGCTGAAAAATGGAGGTTAGAGATGGAGAGTAAGGAGTTTCTGGATAAGATCTAGGGAGAAAATGCAGGTGACACTCCTTCAGCAGAAGAGCTGACATCAAAGCAGAGCACCGCTGGCCTCTGGCCAAACCCACCGGTAGCCCAAGAGCACGAGGCATCAGATGCAGTTAGCTTAGCAAAAGAGTGAGTCCTAGGGCAGTGCACCGCTAACCTCTGCCCTTCCCCTGGACTTTACATTTGAGGTTGTTGGCCTCCCTTGCAGGTGACAAATCACAGCCAAGGAAGGGGAGGTAGTCAAACTCTCTCTCCAGCGACAGATTTGGCTACAGGGAGTGAAGGTAGTCGGCCTCCATCCCCAGCGGGAGATGGCAACCATGCAAAATCAGCTAGAGGTAGTTGGCCTCTCTCCACAGCAGTAGCTGGCAACACAAGTGGATCCCAGGGAGCAGCAGAGTGGAACCAAGGGAGTAGAGGTACTTCGTCTCCCTCCCTTGCATCCAATTTCAAACCAGTAAGAGAAGGTAGAAGCAGTCAGCCTCCCTCCACAGGTGCAGATTGTAATCCCAGCAGAAGAGCTGGCACCAGGGCTGAGCACCACTGGTCTCTGTCAACAACATGCAGGAGATCCAGTCTCCGGGGAAGAGACCAACAGCCCTACAACAGCAAAGAAAGAGAACTCAACAGATCATATATTTTTTAATTCTCAAACTTAAGCCTGAATCATGGAGTTTTAAAAAAGAAAAGAAATTATATATTTACTAAAACACATTTGTCATTGTATGACCATTTTTTCTTTTACTTCTATTACAGCTACTAAGAAAGCAAATTTAAAAAAGGATATAATTTAATACCACCAGAGTGCACTGTAGCACATGCTAACATACCTCAACAGACTCCGAGTTACCCATTTGTGCAAGAAATTAGAAATATTTACTCTTTTTTTTCATAGAATATTTTGTTTCTTAATAGTTGAACTCTCTGTTTCTGTGTAACTTTGTAATGAGAACTACAGTATACTGGAAATATTATTTTCCACGAAATAATTTTCCATCATGATTGAGATTTTTACAATGCTAGAAGATTTATTAACCTGATACACTGTTTTCTTGGCAGAGGAAAGAAACCATTACAATGACAGCTGTTGTTGTAATACAACTCTCATTGTTAATATTTGGTATAGTACAAACCAACCTTGCTATATTCAATATATTTGCTCATGTGGTCTGAAGCAACTCAATTAGAGAAACAATCTGGATACAATCACAACTTGATAGGTTTCGGCCTCATTATAATGCTGTCCTAATGCTCAAATCTTTATAAATGCAGCACCATGAGCCACCGTTGCCACACCTCCCCAATTAAAAAAAAAATACTTCTCATTATTGTACAGTTGTGCTCACAATTTTGCATACCCTGGCAGAAATTGTGAAATTTCAGCAGTGTTTTTGAAAATATGACTGACCATTCAAGGATAGTGATCATACGAAGCCATTTATTATCACACAGTTATTTGGCTCCCTTTTAAATCATTATGATAAAAGAAATCACCCAAATGGCTCTGATCAAAAGTTTACATACCCTTGAATGTTTTACCTTGTTACAGACACACAGGGTAACACACACAGGTAGTGGGGTAGTTGTGACTGGTAGAGAGAGCAGTGTAGTGTCCCCTGGGGAGAGTGGTGGTTGTGGGGTAGTTGTGTGGGATTTGCTCGGGGAGTGTGGTGGTAGGTAACGTAGGTGTTCTAGGGGCAGGGAGGGTGGTGCGAGGGAAGCTAAGCGTTATAGGGGCAGGCAGTGTGGTGCGAGGGAAGCAAAGCGTTCTAGGGGCAGAGAGGGTGGTGCAAGGGAAGCTAAGCATTTTATGGGCAGGGAGGGTGGTGCGAGGGAAGATAGGCGTTCTAGGGGCAGCGAGGGTAGTGAGAGGGAAGCTAAGCGTTCTAGGGGCAGGGAAGTGGGGGGTTGGGGAGGATTTGCCCAGGCAGGGTGGTGGGAAAGAGGCTCCCAGGGATGAGGGTAGATGAAGTGAGTTGGGGAGTGTGACGGAACGCTGGCACTCCGACTGAGTTCCTCCGCCAATCGATGCTCCTAGCGCTTGCCGAGGACTGGCACTCCAACCGACACCATCAGCACTGCAGACCCCACTTCCAGCGATGCAACTGCGCTGGGGTCTCTGCTGTCTCCACCCACCCTGGACCCAAGGCCAGGATCCAGCTTCCAGTGGGTGAACCTCTCTTTCCCCAGAGAGCAGGAACAAGCTCTTAGCAGAACTTAGTGATCATACCCTGGGGAGTATAGTGATTATAGCAATCCCCAGAGTGTATTTCTCCAATCCCCCAAACATGAGCCAAGGCTTAATGCTGGAACAAGACTGATTTACTGGCACACAGAACTCACAATTTATGCAACACAAAACTCCTCCTCTGGGCCAGGCTAGATAATTGAGTTTCTACAATACACAAAGCTCAATTATCTGCTGGCCAGAAATAATACAGTTTCATAAAACACACAGGGACCCCAAAACATGCAATAACCCCATAAAAGTATATCCTTGGAACCGGGGGATCTGGGTGAACCACATATCCAAAATTCACCCAGATCCGTTCAGTACTTTGGAAAATACAGTTTAATGCAGATTCTGCAGAACATATACAGGCTAAATGAAAAACAATCACTTTATAATGTGTCCCCTGCTGTATAGTCCAAAACCACTGCACGATGTCTCTGTGCACCAAATACTGGCGAGATGGCACCGTGTTGAAAAGTCCAAACAGTGTCTGTGAGTTAAAATGGCCGCCATCCATTGTTCTCACCATGTGCTTCTGATACAGGAAATGGTGGCCACCCAGTAACTCCACAGTATGTCCCCAGATGGTTCTTAAAGGGCCAGCAGCAGTACAACACAAATCCATTATGCCCAAATCATGTCTTTAAAGGGCAATACATCCCAGGGGCCATAGTCACAGGGCAAGAGGCGGGCAAGCAGTCCTCTCCAGGCACAAGTGGCGAAGGGCACTTCGTCACAGGGAGGATTTTGCCTGGGAGAAAACGGGCCCTAATATTGACTACTTCTGGTAGTGCAGACTCCTCATTTGAGGAGGCCCCCCTTGGTGAAAGATCACGTGGCCCCCCTTTCAGCAACACTGAAAACTGTGTGCTGCTAGCTGCCGTCATCAAAGAAAAAGAGATCCAAGTCGGAAAAAGACTGAAAAAGTCCACGGCAATGGCTCAGTTATGCCACCTCGGTGAGTTGTCCATATTAGGGAGCCAAATATCATATTTCAAGCGAGTTCGGAGCTGTTTCACCCAGAACACATCGACGAGGAGTTGGCAAACTATTACTCAACTCAGCACACTATTTCTTTAGATTAATTCAACAAATTAAGAGCAAGAAATATGCAATTTTGTTCAGAAAAACATAATTTTATATTATAAAGTACTGGGTGTGGAATGGATACTGCCTCTTTGAATGCTTTTTTTTTTTTTACTAACGAGCTGGTAGGATACACATGTCAAAAAAAATATATCAATAAATGAAGGTAAACAAAATTTACATTTGGAAAAACAAATTGCACATGTCTAATCTCTATCTATCTATCTATCTATCTATCTATATTTCTATCTATCTATCTATTTCTATATACAAGGCCGGCCTTAGGGGTGTGCGAGCTGTGCAGCCGCACAGGGCGCCATGGAGCAGGGGGCGCCCTGCGGCCGACACTGCTCACACATTGCCGGCTACCTGGATGGAGGATTTCATTATTCTCCACCCGGGAAAAAAAAACAAAAAAAACATTGCGGCGGGGCTTAGCACGTGGCGAGACGGGGCTAAATTACGGTGGGGGTGGGGCTAGAAGTGCCGGGTAATTTCTGCATGGGAAGCAGGAAGGAGTCCCTGCTTCCCCAACAACCAGAATCCAGGAGCTGCATAATGAATAGAGGTAACTATATGTAACTGTCTGCCTGTTTGTGACTGTCTGGATGTGTGTGTGTGACTGTCTGCCTCTGTGTGTGTGACTGTCTGCCTCTGTGTGTGTGTGTGTGTGTGGCTGTCTGCCTGTGTGTGTGTGCGTGTGTGTGACTGTCTGCCTGTTTGTGTGTGGCTGTCTGCATGTAACGGTGTGTGTGTTACACTGTGTGTGTGTAAATGTATGTACGTGACTGTCCATCTGTACCTGTATGTATTTGTAATTGTCTGCCTGTAACTGTGTGTGTGTGTGACTGTCTGCCTGTAACTCTGTGTGTATGTGTGTAATGAATATTTATTTTTAAATCATTATTAATTTAATAAATCCCCTATACAATCACTACACTTCTATACACACACTATACAGAGATGACAGGGCATAGGGGGGTGCTGCGAAGATGTTTCGCACAGGGCGCCTAAAGGTCTAAGGCCGGCTCTATTGATCTATCTATCTCTATCTATTGCTTTCTATCTATTTCTATCTACTTCTATCTACACTCACTCTCTCACTCACACTTTCTCACTCACTCACACTCTCTTACTCAAACTCACTCTCTCACACTCTCTCACTCACACTCACTCTCTCCCTCCCTCCCTCCCTCACTCTCTCTCACACTCTCTCCCTTACTCTCCCTCACTTTCTCACACTCTCTCTCACACACTCACTCTCTCACACACTCACTCTTTCACTCTCTCACACTCACTCTCTCACTCTCTCTCACACTCTGTCACACTCACACTCATACTCTCTTATGCACACACTCACTCTCAATTTTTAAGATAAGTTTACTTACTGTTTGAAATCAGTAGATCCTCCTGCTCGGTCTCCTGCCTTCAGCCTGTCAGCCTCAGCCCATGATGTGTGCAGGAGATCCTTATCTCCCACACTGTCGGCTCTGGTTGCTGAGAGGCTCCGGGTTACTACAGGATACAGGACATTCATGGAAATTACTAGAGCATGGTCTTAGAAAATGCAACACAAGGAAAGAAACATAACATAACATACTTAGAGCTTTGTCAGTATGCATGTAGATGTCAGAATAATGGTGACATGGTCAGAGACAGGTTTAGTAACAATACTTGTCTGGCATTAACTCTTCTAGACATGCACGATGGAGGATTACGGTCTAATAGAGAGTGGGTGCTTGTAACAGAGTAGATAGGCTATGTAGTGTGCGATGCCTCTCTATGCATGGGATATGAGGGGAGATATTAAAATAAAGGATAATTAAACACGCTTATAACATATAGCTAGTGTCTGCTAAGAAAACACCACTGGGACTCCCACACCCATCATTACCAACGGCAAAACATGCGAGGGCAAGTAGGTAAAAGGTCGGGAAGCACAAGTCCAGTGTGTATAAGGACCCAATGCCCATGCTGGTTATCAGAGTGTCATATGGAGATTGAGTCCCGGTAGCCCCAGGCAGGTGTGGGGGGTAATGGCTCTCCTGCCCCAGGCCGTCCTGAAGGCCTGCATCCCAGTACCACAGACTTGGTTGCTCGGAAGGCCAAGTCTCTCCCTGTTGGGATCCCACCAAAGTTCCTGTTGGTCTGTTGCCGCTTGTGGCGGTGGACCCTCAGCCTCCGTGGTTGATGCTCCAGGGGCTTCAGCCTTAGGTGAGGTGGAGGGGTCCCACCCCACTCCCGCTTTGCTCTGCTGCTCTGCTCCTCTCGGTCTCGGGTCGGTGAGTCTGCTAATCATGCTTCCAGTTGGGCCCAGAAGTGTGCGAAGTGCTCGTCTATGCGCTGGATCATGTGATCTATAGGGTATTGTGCCTGGAGGGGTCCCACCCCACTCCCGCTTTGCTCTGCTGCTCTGCTCCTCTCGGTCTCGGGTCGGTGAGTCTGCTAATCATGCTTCCAGTTGGGCCCAGAAGTGTGCGAAGTGCTCGTCTATGCGCTGGATCATGTGATCTATAGGGTATTGTTGGGCCACCACGTGTTGCTGCTGATCCTGTGTAGGGTCGGGATGTGCCTGCGCCATCTTGGATCTGCAGTGAGCAGTGCCTGTACCGTTCCAGTTGCCTGTTTGTGCTGAGTTGTGTGGGTTCCACCCATGGGGACCGGGATAACCCCTGCCGGTCCAAAGGGGGGGGTCCGCTGTGGTCACTTGCCGTGTCGAGTTGCGGTATCCAGCATGGGGAAACCGGTCGCGTCTCCCCAGCTCTGCTGCTGACAGGCCTCAATTTACTGCCGCGGTTCACGGCGGCTTTGAGCCTCACTTCAGGTAGCTAATGGTGCGGTAGCGTGTCCTCCTTCTGGAGGGCACCTCCGTTACAAGTTTGTCACCCTGTGGTTCGAAATATTGCTGGAAAACTGCAGGCATTTATAGGAGCTCGAGTTAGACACGTCTTGTCTGCTTGCAGGTCAGGCTCCCGCGAGCTATGTTTTTAAGAGGAAATCTACGGGATTTGGCAACATACTGGATTTGAGGCTCAAAGGTGAGGCTAGAGTCAAGTATGACGCCAAGACAGTGCACTTGCAAGGATGGACTTATGTGGATACCACTAACTTGAAGGGAGAGCGAAAGAGGAGGCAATAAGCTTTCCTAAAGAGATGTGTTTTAAGGCACTTCTTAAACGGTGTCAAAGGTAGCAGAGAGGTCAAGAAGAATTAGTATGGAGTAGTGGCCTTTGGACTTAGCTGCGATTAGGTCGTTAGTAAGGTTGACTGTTTGGCGATTAGGTCGTTAGTAACTTTGATAAGAGCAGTCTCAGTAGAGTGGAGAGTCAGATTGAAGAGGGTCAAGGAGAGAGTTGGAATTGAGGAAGTGAGACAAACGGGTAAAGAGAAGTCTCTCCAGAAGCCTTGAGGAAAAAGGGAGTAGGGATATGGGATGAAAGTTAGAAGGGGAGAACGGGTGAAGAGATGTTTTTTTCAGGATAGGTACTACAGTGGCATGTTTAAGGTCAGCAGGGACAACAGCAGAAGAGAGAGAGTAGTTGAAGATGTATGTTAAGGAAGGCACAAGACAAGGGGAGAGAGATCTGATAAGGTGAGATGGAACAGGATCGAGCAGGCAAGTGGTGGGGTTAGAGGAAAGGAGAAGTGCAGTCACCTCTTGTTCTGTAGCCAGGGAGAAAGTCTGAAGGGTAGGAAACACATGATCTACGTGTGGTTGAGAAAGAGAACAATAAGTTGGGGAGAATTCTTTCCTTAGCTGTTCAATCTTGTCGGTAAAGTAGCATGCAAAGCTATTAGCTGTAAGGTTAGTTTGTGGGGTGGTCACAGCAGGGAGAAGAAGAGAGTTAAAGGTGTCAAAGAGACATCTGGGATTGCGGGAGCATGAACTAACGAGAGAGGAAAAGTATGACTGTTTGGCCAGTGCTGTGCTATATGAACACAATATAAATCTATAATGGAGATAGTCTGCCTGGGTGGGAGATTTCCTCCAGGAGATGATAACTCTGCTTAGGCTTTTCTGCAGTGCTTGGTTGCTTGTACGTACTGGGTGTTGCTAATCAATGCTGTTATTTTGGTCCCAGTCTGAAATATAAGGTCTTGGGTTAGAAAAAAAAAAACACCATTATGGGTGGGGAGACATGGAGATGTTGAGGTAGTTAGAGATGAAAAAACTGAGGAAATAACATTTGGGATAAAAAGATATGAAGGATCAGATAGGTGAAAGTCATAAACAGTGAACATAAATTTACAAGACTATCTGTGAAAGAAGTAACACTAGCTAAACAAACAATTAACAAAAAAAGTTGTAAAGAATGAACATAAAATAACAATGCTATTAAAGGAACACTATAGTCACCTAAATTACTTTAGCTAAATAAAGCAGCTTTAGTGTATAGATCATTCCCCTGCAATTTCACTGCTCAATTCACTGTCATTTAGGAGTTAAATCACTTTGTTTCTGTTTATGCAGCCCTAGCCACACCTCCCCTGGCTATGATTGACAGAGCCTGCATGAAAATAAAACTGGTTTCACTTTCAAACAGATGTAATTTACCTTAAATAATTGTATCTCAATCTCTAAATTGAACTTTAATCACATACAGGAGGCTCTTGCAGGGTCTAGCAAGCTATTAACATAGCAGGGGATAAGAAAATCTTAATTAAACAGAACTTGCAATAAAGAAAGCCTAAATAGGGCTCTCTTTACAGGAAGTGTTTATGGAAGGCTGTGCAAGTCACATGCAGGGAGGTGTGACTAGGGTTCATAAACAAAGGGATTTAACTCCTACATGGCAGAGGATTGAGCAGTGAGGCTGCAGGGGCATGTTCTATACACCAAAACTTCTTCATTAAGCTAAAGTTGTTCAGGTGACTATAGTGTCCCTTTAATGCACCAACATAAAAGAAACAAAACTAAAGTTCAGGATGGGAGATGTAATAGTTATCAATTAAGTATTGAGAATATAGGGAGGGAGGTGGAATAGAACACAATTTTAAATTAAGAAATAAAGGGAAACAATAAATAGTTCATGTAATTCTTGAATAGATCTTCCAGAGATGATACCTCTGCTTAGGCTTTTCTGCAAGGCTTGGTTGCTTGTGAGTACTGGGTGTTGCTAATCAATGCTGTTATCAGGGGCCCAGTCTCTGCTTAGGCTTTTCTGCAGGGCTTGGTTGCTTGTGCGTACTATGTGTTGCTAATCAATTCTGTTATTAGGGGCCCTGTCTCTGCTTAGACTTTAAGGTGTCGTGAGTTATAGAGAAATAAATTGTGTATTCTGTGCCGTAATAACATGCCCAACTAAACTGCACATTTAATAGGGTGTTTTAGGCAATTATCTCCAATTTATGTATGGGTTTGAATATTTTAAATAGTACAACCCTGCTTCTACGTGCTAGTGACCCAGGGGAGTAAGAAGAAAAGGAAGATATGATCATTAGCAGTTTGCGCAATACGCCTGGTCAAACAGCCACACATTGCTAAAATATTTACTTGATTCCATTTTGAATAAAAATCAAACTGTGTTGAAATATATATTTACATTTAATTATACAGAAAACTGTAATGTAACCATCATATAATAAACTGCTTAGAATAAGATTCAAAATACGCCATTACAATTTCCAAATCTTGAGAATATTATGGTTTAAACTGTACAGGGTTATTTACTAAAGTTAGAGCTGTCTGCAATTCATAGGAGTGTCAAATTTAAGGGCAAAGACTTGAAACCTAGCTGACCTTGAGAATATTTTACCAATTTGGCTTATTTGTCATCAAATGTAAAGGGGCACTATAGTCACTGGAACATCTACAGCTTATTGTATTTGTTCTGGTGAGTAGAATCATTACCTTCAGGCTTTTTGCAGGAAACACTGACTTTTCAGAGAAAATGCAGTGTTTACATTACAGCCTAGGGATACCTCCACTGGCCACTCCTTAGATGACTACTAGAGGTGCTTCCTGGGGCAGTGCTGCATAGTGTGCAACACTGCCATTCAGTGTCTTTACCCACTGCAAGGAAGCACTGAATTTTCCTCATAGAGATGCGTTGATTCAATACATCTCTATGAGGAGATGCTAATTGGCCAGTGCTGTGTTTGGCTTTTGCTGGCTTTTCCCCTGATCTGCCTCCTTGACAAGTTCAGCCAAACCAATGACAAAATCAATTTTTACATGTTTACATGCTGCCCCTGATCTGCCTCTTTGACAAGTTCAGCCAAACCAATGACAAAATCAATTTTTACATGTTTATATATTTTTTAATTTGATAAAGCTATTTTCAATTTAATTATTTATTGGTAAATTCCATATATTCTTTTTTTATAGAGTTTTTTAAATGTAATTTTTTTTTGAATAGCTCTTAAATCACATAGAGATTTGTTGGGCATATTATCACTTGGTACTAACTGGCTATTCCCTCTGACTATTCACTTCAACTTCACCTAATTGTACTCCATTCACTTGCACTTTGTTATGCAGATACATATTGTACATGTTAAAGACCATTTACTTCAATTGCACCTGGTCATATTGTA